TTACAACAGAACTGTACTTAGATGGTTCGAAACTGTTCACATTGTGTGAAGCTTCTCTCAATGAGTTTCTTATTTTTATGTGGTATTTCCTATCTTGCAGTGAGTGTCCTGTAAATAAAGATTAAATTTTACCCTTAATGAAAGACATACACAATTCTCAGTTTGTCATTAAAGCGAAAGTAAACATAGTCATTTCATATATTTTAAGGAATAAGAATGCTTATTGTGGTCGTACAATAAAAATAAACTGGTGTGTAGTAGTGTCATTTAGAAGCGGGTGGTACACATTCACTGTGATTCTGGTGGGCATTATAACTAGGGCTGTCTGATACTATTGTGAACTTCTTGGTGAAAGAAGTGTGTCTCTGTCAACTGGAAGTATCCCAAAATTGAAAAGCAATATAGCATATGATGTTTAAGAAGACACTTGTCTTAGTCAGCTCAAGCTGCTATGACAAAATACCACAGACTGCATGGTTTCAATAACAGACATTTTTTTCTCACAGTTTGGAGCCCTGGAAGTCCAAGATCAGGGTACTGGCACATTGAGTTTCTCATGAGGGCCCTCTTTCTGGTTTGCATTTTCACTGTGTCCTCACTTGACGGTAGGGGTGGGGGAGTGAGGGGAGTGGCAGAGCTTTGGTGTCTTCCTCTCCTTATTTAGACATTGATCCCATCATGGGGGCCCCACCCTCATGACCTCATCTAAACCTGATTACCTCCCAAAGACCCCACCTCCAGGGTTAGGGCTTCAACATGAATTTGGGGTTTGGGAGGAGAAACATTCAGTCCATAACAATGCTTAACCTTTCTAAGCCTCAATTTTATTATCTTTAAAAATAGATAATACCTATAAAAGTGGTTCTGAGATGGTAATGCATGTATAAGCTTAAGAATTTGATACATAGTAAGCTCTCAAAAAAAGTAGTTGCTGCTACTGTGATGATTGTTAACTACCATATTTCAGAGATGTGCTAGAAGTATTTTTGGTATTTATTGAAAGACTGGGCTGGATAAATTCTTCCAGTTCTAAGAATCAGTAAATGTATTCTTATGTTTTCCTTTGTGCTTGTGAGCCCGAAGAGAGGGATGTTGCTCTGTGAACATTGTTCAGTTCTGTGTGATCATCTTTCTGTGTGGGCAGATTTATGTCTGTCTGGGTTATGATTTTTTTTTATTTTGTCTTTGCTTTTTCTCTAAATTTTCATCTGTTTCTTTCTGCATCCTTCTCCCTTGGTCTCTGTCAGTCTGCGTTCTCGAATTCATTTTTGCTGCTCTTCTGTTTTTTCCTCATCATTCACTGTATAATATGAATAGTTTACAATGTATATTATTTTGCTATATTTTAAAATCTTTTATTTCAAAAGGTAGTGTCTTTGGTGGTGTGTTTAACCCACATGTGACTGTGTTACCTAATGGTATATCTTTTCTGCCCCTGCTCAGAGTCCTGCTTTCCCAGGCTATGACCAGGACAGGCCTGACTTTGTTCTCACTGAACTTTAATATGGCTTGCGTTGGGATAGGCATGTGGCAGTAAAGTTCAGCGGAGCCAGATTCTGCTTAAAGAGGAAACTGTTTGACGTATCATGCATACCAATGACCAACTGCTTTTCCCCAGACATACCATGAGGAAGTCCCCTCCCCCAGCCTGGTTGGGACACCCGTCATTCCCTGTGTACAGTAAATGTTAAAGCACCAAGCCTCCCTTTACTTTTTTATCCCCCCAGCCTTCATAACATAAACGGAATTGTTTTATATCTAAAGGCTAACGGAAAGTAAGTCGTTTGACATCCTGTGTTTTTCTACATTTAACAACTTTCATTTACACAGTAGATGTGTCTTGCGTAACAGCATCTCCTTTAACCACGGTAATTAAAATCATCTTGAATAGATGTAGTTACACTTAATTATGGATTCAATGTTCTAGTTGATGTAAGCTTATTACACATTTAGTTTATAAGACTGTTGTTTATGGCTGACTGTAGGTGCATAAAAGTTATCATTTTTCAGTTTCTTTTAAGGCCTATGTAATTACTTATGAATTTTTTAAAAATTTGTAACAAAACATTTTAAAATTGCCACCATCAGTCAAGCAATAATACAAAGCTTGACTACTTGGATGCTGTTTGATTAACGAACATGTTGGGAAAGCAAAAAGCATGTCACGAACATATATTACTTAACAGAATACGAAAATTCTGATGGACTGTTCTAGGTTGCTGGGAAATACTTTTGGTAAAAGAGTGAAAAGAAAATTCACTTCTGTTTTTGGAAACATTCTTGATATATAAAAATTGTACACTATGACCCCAGAAATAAGGAACAAACAAGATGTTTATTCCCTTTTCCCCAAAATTTAATGAGATGCTCATATGGCAGATCAGCATGTGAAAAGATGTTCAGTGTCACCAGCCATTAGGGAAATACAAATTAAAACCAACACCACTACACACCTGTCATCATGGCTAAAATAAAAAATAGTGACAATGCCAAATGCTGGCAAGGATGAGAAGAAACTGCATCTCAGGCATTTCTGGTGGGAATGTAAAATGGTACAACAACTCTGGTGGCAGTGTCTTTAAAAGCTAAGCATGGAGCTGCCATTTAACCCAGCAGTCACATTCCTGGGCGTTTACCTCAGTCAACTGAAAACTTATTTTCACACTTGAAACCTGTACATAAGAGCTTATAGCAGTTTTCTTTACAATAGCCCAAAACTTGAAATTGTTCAGCTATTCTTCAACAGGTGAATGAGTAAACAAACTATGGTACACTCATGGAATACTACTTCACAATAAAAAGGAACAGTCGATACATACAATAAGCTGGAGGAATCTCCATAGAAATGTGAGTGAAAAAGGGCAGTCTCAAAAGGTTACATACTACATGATTCCATTTATTATATATAACTTTCTTAAAAATGACAAACATCACAAAAACGAACATATTGGTGGTTGCCAGAGATTGACGGAGTGAGGGTATTAGGGAAGTTAGGTGTGTGTGTCTATAAAAAGGCCAGTAGGACAGATCTTTGTGGTGGTGGAATGTTCTGAATCTTAACTGAATCAGTGTTGGTATCCTGATTGTGATACTAGAATTTTGCAAGATGTTACCATTGAGGGAAACTGGTAAAGGAAACAGGGGATCTCTTTGCATATTTCTTACAACTACATGCATGTGAGTCTACAATTATCTCAAGAAGATTAATTTTAAAAAATATAACAAGATGTAATAAAAATATTCTGATGAAACAATTTCTTCCCCACATGTTCCTTATTTTTGTAGACTCATTTCTTAATGGTTCATTTGATCATTCCTTTATTCATTCAAAAAATAATTATTGAGCCCTTGATATGTGCTTAATTTGGCCTTACTATTGAGTTCAAGTCAGTTATTTTAAAACTGTATCATCACCAACTTGTAACTGTTTTAGAATTTACCACATAGGGGACACCACCTTATTTGGTTATTGAGTAGTAAGTTCCCCAGCTAGTATACTTCACGCAAAGCTAGCTTTTCTGTATGCATGTTTTGAGGCCGTGGTAACATTAGCTTTAAATTATTCAAAAAATGTTCCAGGGTAAAATTACTGTAGTTCTGCTTTATGGTATAAAACTAGTAGTCCTTGATTACACATTCATCTGTGTACAAGAGCAAAAAAAAATGAGAATCTGAGCACTGTCATTGGGTATTCACCTGTGGAGTGGGGTGAGTTTCTCTACAGGTAGATGTCCTGGCAGGCCTCTAAGTTTTCCCAAGGGCATGACATTCTTTCTTCCAGTTTAGCTCTGGGCTTATCTGATAACATAGAATGTGTTCTGTGGGAACTTGTCTGAGCATGTAATTTTGAACTCAAGGCACCTCGACAGCTGAGTTTAGAGAGACAATTATGCTTCTGATGAATAACCTAGAGAATAATCAGTAAGTTCTTTGTTTTGGTGAAAGTCAGCCTCTGGGTTAGCCAGAGCTGTAGAGAGAGGGTCTGTTCTTTGGTCTGCATCCATCCTGTCCCCTGGAGAATGACTTTTGCTAAATTGTGCGTTTACATAATACTAAGAGTCTAATGAATGAAATGTGGTGGTACTCCGTAACTGGAAATGAAATTTGAAAAACTTAAGACTCACAGGAGGCTACTTTTTCTAATTGTGGAGGAGACTTCCCCACTGGCCCTCCTTGCATAACAAATGGCTGGCACTCCATCCTGTGGTCAGATAAAGCCAGCTCTAGCTGCAGCCATAGCAGTATGGGGCACAGAGACAAAGCAAATCCTATTGGCCCTGTAGTCCTACTCAGATGCACTTAGCTCCTTCTTTGACCCTTTCTGGAGAATCATTTTCAGCCTGGTGATCCTTATTTGAATAGTGAATTGTGGTTTAGGAACAAGATTAAAACCCTCTTCTCTGCTTTAACTTTATGGAACAAGAATATATGTCCTAGTGAGTTGTGCTGAAGCATTGAAGGGATTTTCCCTAAAAATAATGTAGGGAGCTATAAGTAGGTTAGACCCAGTCTAGCTCCCTAGAGTTTATTTAATCTAGCATCTGTCTGAACCAATATCCTATTAGAAAACCCAGCTCTCATCTTTTAGCAGCTTTCTCCCAAGGATAATCTTTAGTCATTTTTTTTGCTTGGCTACTGTGTCTAGAGTGAATATAATAGCGAATTCCCAAGACTCTTGGGCAGGAGAGCAGTGGTGTGGTCTGGGTTCTTTGGTAGTTCTGTACAGGTTCTGAATTCTAATGGCAGCTGGCACTATCACTGATGATGGGAAGGGAAAGGTAACTTTTGCATGCCTCATGCCCTGGCTAGGACAACCTCTCAAATGTAAAAAATCTAGTATTGTCCATGCAGTGGTAGCATGAGACTAGGTTAAAATCACCAAGGTTACTAATGATACATAATCTGGTGTACAAATGAGCAATTCTGTGTGTCACTTCGGTTTTTTCTTTGTCATTGTCATCGGATCCACATTGCATCTCACTTTTTCTTGTCTTTTGTAGTCTCAAACCATGAATTATGTGGGACAGCTGGCTGGGCAGGTGATCGTCACTGTAAAGGAGCTCTACAAGGGCATTAACCAAGCCACTTTGTCTGGGTGTATCGACGTCATTGTGGTGCGGCAGCAGGATGGCACCTATCAGTGTTCGCCTTTTCACGTTCGGTTTGGGAAGCTGGGAGTCCTGAGATCTAAAGAGAAAGTGGTGAGTGCATGGTACAGCCTATTTTCCCAGAGGATGAAGTTAGGTGGTGGCAATGAATAAACAAACCATTACTGTGCGCTTTCTGGGCCTTTTATTTATTTTAAACCTGTAGGATGTTAAAGACACTGATATGAAAGGTCAACCTTTATGTATTGCTTTTTGACATTACTTCTAAATTCAAAAAGCCCTACTACAGAAAGTCTCTCCAAGGGAAAAAAAGGCTGAAAATTATTTTCATAATGGCTATGTATTGCAGCTCAGAAGAGTAGAACAGAGAAACTAGAGTTATAAATAGGGATGTTGGGTATATTTAGAAAAACTTCCTTTACCTTACATAGCACTTTAAAATATTTAGGGTATTGACTTCATAACAACTATATTATTCCATTCTGAATGGAATAGACTGAGATTAGAATACATAACATTTATTTAAACGAAATTAATGCCAGATTTATGTGATTGTTTTGACAAAGCTGTAAAATATTATTTGTAATCTAAATTTTGTTGATACCAAGACTTTCTCCAAATATGACTGAAATGCAAACTCCCAGGCCATAGGCTGGTTATCTTTTATTGGAAGATTCTTTTAAAGAGATGGTAATCCTTTTGGCTTTTCTTTTTCTTACATTCTCTTACCTTCAGGTAATAGAGCAACTGGAAGGTTTGTTAGGATATCTGATGTCAAGTCAGAAAATTGAGCTAATAATAAAACTTCTTCAGGTACATAGTAGTATTTTTATTGCCACTCTTGCCCCATAGTATCTACTTAAACAATAGATGGAGATTTTTGTCAGGATTTTAAAGCACAACGAAAGATCCACACCATTTTCTGGAACCAGAAGCATTAAAGGACCACTGGTATAAGTTGAAAACATCTATTTTCAGATTTTGGCTATGTCACATAGGTGATCTTATTCTTTAAAATAGAGATTTCCCTCTATTTTAATTAAATTTAGGTTATTTTGAGAGTGAAAGAAAAAATTTTCTGGCTTTCACAAACTAGATATTCTCCCCACCCAAAACAAACATCTCATTTTTCTATAACAAAATCAGTGTTCCTCTGGAGAGCCACGTTTCAGGGGAGCCGGGTTTGTGTGGTCCGGCCTCTTTTCAGAGTTACCCTTTGGAAACCAAAAGCAGTTGCAGTTTACTTAGTGTCTTTGAAACTTTCCTTTGCAAACAGTATTTAGTCACAGTTAATTTCTTTGAAATTTATTTTCTTTCCGGTAACACTGAGCTGTAGTACTTTCAGACTGTATCTGATTTAGGAGAATCAGCAGCAAACTGTTTATGCACTGAATCTTCCCATTAGTTGTACAAGGATTTATTTGTAAAACAACTTACAAGGCTTTATTTGTTTGTTTGCTGTGATCTGGGTTTTTGATCAAATTGGATAAGTCTTCTGGCCTTTCAGAACAGAACTTATATATACATAATAAGCATTTGTGCATCTGCAGTGGCAACTAGGCAGGTAAGATACCTCTTTCTGCATGCTGTAGGCCTCTAATTAGGAAAGTAATATAGTTTCTGTACAATGTTACACAAATTGTTGTATTAAATATTTTGTCAAACCCTTGAATTTAATTGAAGTCTGTTGAGACACAGGATAAAAAAAGAACATTTCTTCTTTTCCACTTCTTCCTTTGGTATCCCAGAAACTCAAAAGATATGTTTGGGAAGAAGTTTGTCTATTTGACCAAAACACAGCTTTTCCGTGACCGTAAAACTGAAACCATGACAGCCCTGAGATACTCTGGCAATCTGGATCAACTGTTTGTCTTATTTTAGGTCAGTTTCAATCAGGGAAAGCAATTCATTGATTTTAAACTACAACCCCAATTTTCATACCTATGAAGTGAACTTGAAATCGTAATCACCATAAAACCACTGGTTAGAGAGATGCCGTATCATAAGTTCCCCCACTGTAATTAGTATGTTCTCATTTGATAGAGCACCAATACTCCCAGTATGTTTCGTAGAGCAGCAGTTTAATTTCAGAAGATAAACCTGTACTTGATATTTTTACATATTTTGTTGATTTAACACAAAAACTGATGATTTGATTACTTATCAAAGTTAAATAACCCAGTGTATTAGATAAGGCAGTTGCCATTGTAGATGACAAAAATCCACCTCATACTAGCTTAAGCAAAAAGGATTTTATTGGCTTGTATAACTAAAGTCCAGGAGCATTTGAATTAATCAGGATTTTCTTTAGAGTCTTTGAAGGTGTTATCAGAACTCTCTCTTCCCCCACCTCTCAGCTCTGGTTTCCTTGGTATATGTTCTTTCTAACATAAGATGGCCTGCAGGTTTACTTCTATTAACAGCCTCAGTGGAAAGAGAGCTTCTCTTACCTAAGAAGTGTCAGTGTTTAGTCTCCCTGTCAGAGTACATATATCTTGGGGACCAGTCACTATAGCTGGGGGTGGAATATATTGATTGGCCTGGGTTGGACAACAGCCCGACCTGCACTCTCTGAAGCTACACCTGAAATAGATGATCAGAAATAGGGGATGGATAGATACCCATAGGACACCAGAGATATTCTTAACAAAAGAATAGCATGCCAAGTCAAACATCTACTATAGCCAATATTTCTCAAAAGTAAATCATTTCTATTTTAACATCTCAGTCATATATGTTGAGCAAGATTAAGCTACAATGTGGGAGGTAAGAATATATGGAAATAAGTGCTGTTTTAGAAACCACCTTACTAGAAGTAGTACGTCAAAATGAATATCCTCTTTAAAATAATCACCTTGGGAAACATTTATTCCAACTTGATGCCATCTCTCAAAATATTTTTAATATTTTTCCTTTGTTGCCTAAAGACTAATTTGTGTTACCTGAACAACACAAGGTGAAATCTACTTGTGCTACATATAACCCTGAAAGTGTTCAAATGTTTCTTGACAAGGATGTTTTCCCCATTTTATGACATTTGGGAATTAAATAATTAAAAATGTTTACAAGTTAATAAAAATAGATGATAAAATATTTTCTTTCAATCCCTGGTTACCATCCCTTCCCCATCCTACCAAGATCTGTTTGGTTTTTTAGGGATGGGATGTGAGACAGATAACAGTGTTTTTCTGGGGCTGTCACTCTAGAAACCTTAATACTAAGTTTGGTTTGAGAACTCAGAATTTAGGCTTAGTTTAGCTCCAATAAAAGACTCTTAATGCTAAATTTGTTTCTCCTCTTAGATTGATATAGAAATCAATGGTGATGCAGTGGATCTTCACATGAAATTAGGTGACAATGGAGAAGCTTTCTTTGTGGAGGAGACCGAAGAGGAATATGTAAGTCCTAGTTGGTCGCATTCACATTACACAGTTTGTTCATGCCTCTGGTGCATGCCCCAAAAAAGAAATGTTCAGTTTTCCTGGTTAATTGTACAGATGATTGTTGCTGATTTAGGCAAGTTTTAGTTTTAGGTTGAAGAACTAAGCTGTCAGATAGGAGATGGAAGAGTGAGGAACTTTTCTCCATTCCAGGTTCAGAGCACAGAGAGAATGCAGAAGGCCTTTGTATTTGCTTTTTTTGTTTTTTACAAAAAGCACATCTTTTTGTAAAAGGAAAGGCACATATTTTCATTTTACTTTAATGAGCTTTCTTTCTGTTAAAGTTTACACCTTGACTTGAATACATTGAGTTTTGCTTAAGTAATTAAGGTGTTTGTATCTCTTAACACTGTGTATTTGTATACATGTGACCTTTAAACTTGGAAAACGTGAATAGTCACGTGAATTTATTATGATCTCAGGGGACTTAAATTAATTGGCCTATACCCTTTAAGATAATTGCATGTTTGGCTTCTTTCAGCAAGAAAGCAGTTTGTTGTCGTCACCACCACCACCACCCCCCCCACCACCACCACCACCACCACACACACACACACACACACACACACACACACAATATCAATATCAATCTCTCCCTTACTTTTTCCTTCCTTTGTATCCACTGATTTGAATCATGGTGAACTGTCCTTGATGGATTTATTGTGAATCTTTTTAAAAATTCTTAGAAAGCAGTGTTATATCTTCCATCAGAAAGAATAAAATCTCAGGTAGCAAAAATGATAAACTTCAAGTTATTAAGGATACAGGACTAGTATTTTTTTGGTGTTGAACACGATCTTTCAGTGTAATGTCAAATTGACAAAGAAAAAATAATTTCCAAAAAATAAACAGTAGCAGAATGTGATCGTTTTTAATTTAGAGAAAAGTCAGCACCTTAGTACTACTATGTAAAGCAACATTGAGACAATATGATTATGGAAGGGAACCTCACCAGACTAGTATTTTACTCGTACCTGAATTACCTGTTTTTATTATCTTGTTTGCATTTACTTGACCTAAACAGAATTTCCCTCATCAGAGAAAGAGGCAAAAGGCAGAATAAAAGATTGAGTTATTACAGGAATAAGATTTTTTTGATGTGTTTCTTAAAATCACATATAATCGATAACACTGATTAGGCTTTACATAAATCAACAAGGAAGAAGACTGGTTATTGATAGTCTGTTAACTGGTTCTCATGATCAGTTCTGTTGATTACATTTAAAACTATGCTTATTTAGCAAGGTCAACTTGGAGAGTGTTAACTTTCTAGCCTTTTTTCCCTATACCATGTATAACTTGATGGGCCACATTTTCTTTAGTAAAGTGTACTTCTCTTTAAAATTAAAAAAAATATACAAAGTTAATTCATCTGACAACATTGAAATCACTGCCCTGTACCATATACTATGAATAAAGTATGCCCCCCTCTCTAGGAGTTCATGATTTAAAGAGGAATAAATTTTACCAAAACCCATCTGGCTTCCATTTATTTGCTTTTTGTTTCTCTCAGATTTTTCTCATTTAACTATATGTCATCAATATCCTTTTCAAGTCAGTAGTTCCAGATCTAACTGTCCTTCTAATAGCTGTTCAGTATTCCATAGTATGGATATACCACAAACAATGCTATAATAGAACTAGGAAACATTACCAGAGACAAAACAGCTTTTAAGAATTACAAGTAAACTTTATAACAAAGACCATTGAATTAAAAGGCCCTGGAAGTCAGAGGCCACAGCTTGTTACCTGGGTGCTTTAGCGGCTTACAGGATAATATCCTATCGTCACTGTTTCTCTCTAGGTGTATGTTGCTGGTGAACACAGATTTTGCTTGGGTGATTAAACTTTGGCTTCAGAGTAATATGTTTACCAAAGCCAAATTTAAAACAGTTATGGAAACCCACTTGTTTTCACATAAATTTAAATACTCAAATTTAAAACTTGAGTATTCTGAATCATCTCAGGTTAATTTATATCTACCTTTCATTTCCTCCATGATACAAAAGAATAAAGCAAATGATTAAGAATTCCCTGAACGCTAGATTTGATTATTTATTTAATATTAAAATAAGAGTTTAATTATTTCTAACTGTTGAGACTTATTTTCTTCTTTTGAATTCCTAAAACAATAAATACTTTGATTTAAAAATCCACTAATTTCATTTGGTACAGAGTATTGTCTCTGTTACAATCGCCTTTCTCACCCTCAATTAATTTGACAAACACAAGCATTAACCACTCTAAATTTTACCATAGTTCCTCACTTACTTGTCCTTCTGCTCCTTATCTGATGGGGTGTTCCTGCTCCTTGCCTTCTACTTTGTCCTGTTCTTACTGTTCTTTGCAAGTTCTTGACAGAGTGCTTTGTAACACTTCCTGAGAATGCTGCTGCTTTGAACTTCTCTTTATAGAAATTTAATTGGCTCTGCTTTAATTATAGCTTTCATGTATTCCATGCGACTTGTCATAATGGTTTCTCCAAATGTATTCTGTTACATGAACCAAAATGAGCTAACACTGAGCCGTGTGCAAGAGTAAAGACCTATTTCAAATAGAGCAGGCAGTGCCCTAGTTCAGTATGACTTTCTTACTTTTAGAAACTATGTATTCCCTACTATGCAGAGTATATAGATATGCAAAGTATTCATTATTATTTTGATTCACTGTCCAGTTTGCCATGGACAACTTTTCTTTCTCCATATTCTCTTTAAGGAAAAACTTCCTGCTTACCTTGCCACTTCACCAATTCCTACTGAAGATCAGTTCTTTAAAGATATTGACACCCTTTTGGCGAAATCAGGTGGAAATGAAAGAGCATCTCAGAGTTCCAACATATCACACATCTTGGAAACAGAGACAGTGTTCACTCCAAGTTCTGTGAAAAAGAAGAAACGAAGGAGAAAGAAATGCAAACTGGACAGTAAGAAGGAAGATCAGGCTGCTTCTCCTGCTGCAGAAGATACCGTGGATGTGGACCTGAGCTCTGACGATGACAAGGGGGCCCAGTCAGTGAGGTAAGGCTCTTGGTCTGGGAGGACTCCTTGTGCAGGTGCCAGGTGTGCATCCATACTATGGCAAGAGTGCAGGTGAAGTGAGAAGCTGTGGCATTTTTTTTCTTTCTGCAACTGTACAAAATTTGCCATCAGACATCCTGCTTTGGTGCTAAAATATCATTCAAAACAGACTGGCAATGTGTCTTTTCATCCAGTAATTTTCTAAAAGCTAAATAAAGCATCTCAAGGAGGATCTGAACTAGTGACTTGCCCCCGGGTGAGCAGGTATAAACATCAGGAATATTTGCCAACTCGCTGGGTCTTTGTGCTTGGTATCTCACCTGTTCTTGAGGAGTTGTAGAATTGTTGTTTTGAGTTTATCATCAAAACATCCTAGGAAGTTGAAGAAGAAAGGAGGTTTTTGTTTTGGGGGTTTTTAAGGGTGAAAATCTTGATCGCTACTTATGTTTTCTAAAACTTTAAAATCTGGGTTGTAAATTCTGCAACAAAATTCTACATTTGATAGTAATTTTTAATACATGAACTCTTTTTCTGCCTATCTTTTATTACTCATCAGTTGTCATATTTATGATGTTTTTTCCCCTCCAACACTGAATATAGACTTTGATTTCAATTCTAGAATGCAGATTCTTGTTTAGTGTTAGAACTAAACAAAAGGCAAAAAGCAAAAAATACTTTAGACTTTACAGACCAGTGTAAACTATACTTATAAAAATCTTAAATCCTAAATAAATTAACAAATTTGGGTAATCTTTTTTGTCAGTATCAAAGTACTATCTAGGAAGAGCTCTAAAATGCTCTAAACTCTCCTTTTATATCACTGAGTCCCACAGAATTTTAAGCTAATAAAAAGTACCACAATTTCTTAAAAAACAGACTCTTATCATTCTTTTCTTCCTGTTTTTAATCTCTTAAGGGTTATTTATCTTTCCCTTTCTTAGGAGAGAGTATACTAGGAGACTCTTTGAGATGTTTTATTGCTTGATTTTGGTGCTATAAGGAACATGTAAACAGTTCCTAAAATGTTTAGTGGGCAAGAAACATTCTTTTGAGAAAAACTTGAAGTGTGCATCTAAATTTTATTTGGATTAGCACTGTAATACTCCCTAAGTGCCTTAAATTGTGGTATTTTTTGTCAACTAAAATTCTTTTAAGATGCACCAGAAAGAACACTGAAGTAAAACTTTTACCTTCAAAGTTTTCTTGATGAGTATTCAACAAAATCCTTTGTTATATAACATAATAGAGCTAAGTTTAGAATGCTTGGACAACCTGCAGTTTTAGCTTGGGAAGTTAAAACATTTCTGAAACATAGGCAGTCATCTACTAAATGCACAGGGATTGTTATTCTGAAGGGATTTTGTAAATGCGTATTGCAAGTGAATGTGCATTGCATAAATATTAGTGGATGCCTTACTTTTCCAGATTGTGTGAAACACTGCATCAACCAAATCTGTCAGTGTGCTGATTTGGTTGACAGCGACATGGTTGCCAGCTTCTCTCTCTGAGCCAGAATCTTGCTTGTCAGAACATATGTAAGCTAGAGCCTTGTAATAATTTTCACAAACTTGGTGTTTTGCTTTTTCTTTAGGTTACCAGTAAATCATAGATGCCATCACTTGGAGGAACTCTTTCCTGAAATTTCCTTAAAATAGGATCTTAATTATGCAGCCAATAGAAATTAGGACTTAAAAAAGAAAAGACAAGATGTAACAGTCATAACAGTTCAGGTCTATATGCACTAAAATAAGCACTGAGCTAAAAGGTAGGAGACTGAACCAGTTATACTTCCAATTGTGGAACAGTGGCCTCCTGGTCACTCCAGGCTTTTCTTTCTTAATCTGTGAAATAATGGAATTAAACTACATGGTTTGCAAGGCCCCTTCCAGCTCAGCATTTAGATTCTAAAATAATTTGGTAGAAGATATTTAGGGTCAAAAGTATTAGCAGCATATTAAATGGCACATTAAAGAATCTGAGAGAAAAAATAGAAAGTCTACTGCTTTTGTAGTTATGAGATTAGAATTATTTGGTATTGGAATTCGCAACTCTTAAATATCTTACCTTCCTGAGCCTCTACCATTTAGGAAAGAAATTGTTTCCAGAGAAGATACCTAAAATAAGTTTTTATTTTGCTAGGCAGCATTCTATTTAAACTCTTTACTTTTCAAGAATTTCATGCATTACAGGATTAAGGCTAATGGAGGCTCCTTGAAGGAGGCAGATAAAAGACAGAATCATGCTTGTTGCTGTTGCACAAGCTAGAAGAAACTCATTGGTTGAAATAGAAGAGCTTTAAATTACACAAGGCGTTGTATAAACTGTACCTAATGAGTCCCTGTACCTTCTTCCTCAAATTGGACTTTTGGCTTAAGTATGGTACAGGAGTCTTGTTTGTCCTTTCAGAGGATGGATAGATTTATGTGTATTCAAAACGTGGTTGTAGGTATAAATAGCCTTTTGGAGGGAAGAGACTTTTCAAAGTGGACGGTGTGGTAGCACAGTCTTGAGTGTAAATATGGAACTGATGAAAATACTTAAAATACCCAGCAATAACAATGGAGGATTAGAGACCACACTATCAGAAAGGAGCCTCTACTTTTAAGCAACCAAAGTAGACTTGCTTACAAGTTATGTCTGGGAGCCAAATGCAGGGAGCCTAAGACTTTTATTTTTTAATAATAGTAAATTTTAATAAATTTTTAAAATTTATTAAAATTAGTTAATAATTACGATTTTTAGGTGTGCAAGATTGTAATCGATGTCTGTGTACTTTTTTGTGTGTTTACCACCCAAAGAAAGTCTAGTTTCTTTTCATTACCATATATTTGACCCCGTTTACTCACTTTGCCCTACTCTTACCCTGTTTCTTCTGGTAACCACCATTCTCTTGTCTGTATCTATGGAGTTTTTGTTTTGTTCATTTGTTCTTTTTTGTTTTATATTCCACATGAGTGAAATCATACAGTTTTTGTCCTTTTCTTTCTGTCTTACTTCACTTAGCATAATACCCTCAAGATCCATCATGTTGCACATGGCAATATTTCATCTTTATGGCAGAATAGTATTCCATTCGTGTGTGTGTGTGTGTGTGTGATATCTTTAGTCATCTTTCGATGGACACTTTGGTTGTTTCTATGTCTTGGCTGTTGTAAATGATACCATAGTACATACAGGCATATGAAAAGATGTTCAACGTCACTAGTTATAATGAATGGCAAATCAAAACCACAGTGAGATACCCTTTCACACCTGTTACAATGGCTGTTATCATTCAAGAAGACAAAAAATAACAAGTGTTGGAGAGGTTGTGGGAATGGAAATTAGTGCAGCCACTATGGAAAACAGTATGGAGAATCCTCAGAAAACTAAGATTGGAATTACTACATGATCGCAGTAATTCCTCTTCTGGGTATTTACCCTAAAAATATGAAAACTGTTATTGATAAAGATATGTACCTGTGTTCATTGCAGCCTCAGACTTTTCACAGACAGTATGTATTACCCTGGCCTATTTTTAGTCTAGCAGATTAAGTGATACAGATATTCTCATTTTACCTTTAACATTGTCCTGGTAGAACATTGAATTTTCTATGAGATGCTCTTAAACTTGTACAGTATGGTGCTTTATACTTTTCAGTTTTTCTTTATACTTTATACTTTTTAGATTTAGAGCTTTCAACATGGCACACCACATGAATCTCACATTGACTCTGTGAAATAGAACAAGTGATAAATTTCCAACTAAAGGTGCTTCTGAGGGATGTTTTAAGTTCATATAGCAAGTTAGTTACAGTAACTCTGCAAATTCAAGAAAACCAAAGGATAAATTAATTAAAACCTTATTAGCATTAGTTCAGCCACCTAAAGTTCCAAGATCTGTGTGTGAATTTTAAAAGCATTTATCATATTTTTGTATCATTTTCACAACTCTCATCATGTAGGTTCTAAGTAAAGAAAGATTCTGATGCTTGGGCTAAAGAGGAAATAAATTCTTGTTTTTAAGAGTTCGGGGTATTTTTAAATTTTGAGCCATAGCTCTTGTCTTCAGCTGATATTCTCTTTTTTTTTAATGCCAGTTTATTTATTTTTCATACTATATATACATAATTTTTTTAACACTTTATTTTTTATTTTCTCCCATCCTTTTGGTAACCAGTAGTCCATTGTGATATTCTATTTTTGTAATACACAGGAGAGTGTAGTGAAAAGATCAAGGGCTTACTTATTTTGAATTCAGAGACTTACTAGCTTTTTTACTTTGGGCAAGTTACTAAACTTCTCTAGATCCTTAATTACCTAATAACTGAACATACGATATTACTACCTCAGATTTGTAAGGAGTTAATGAAATATACATAAAGCCTTAGTTTTCATCCCACCTTTGAATCAATTACTTCTAAGGGATGTAAAAAGTAATTTTTAATCACATTCTTTCCTCCTCTCTTTATCCCATATTTAAATAGTGATTGTAGTAGGGTATGAGGGTGACATCAGTGAATCCCTCCCTTTCATGTTTTCCTTTTAAAAACGTTAGTTATTAATTATTTGGCCACCTTCATTTGTATCATTTAGACAATGTGTTAGTAGATTTGGGGAATATTTTTAAGCTGACATTAAGTGTCGTTCCTGTCCCTTTCTTCCCTGCCCTTCACAGAGGATCTTCAAATGCTTCCTTAAAGGAAGAAGAATATAAGGAGCCTCTGCTCTTCCACTCCGGAGATCACTACCCCTTATCTGACGGAGACTGGTCCCCTTTGGACAAGTAAGTATTTTTGAGATTTCTCAATTTCTTGAAGTATATTAAAGAGCTTTTCTGTTATTGGACTCTAATGATATTTCTCATTTCTCTCATATAGTATAGGTACTGAATATGTACTTTTAACATGAATATGGACCTTTTCTCTCAATAATTATTTTGTTTCTAAACTTAATCTTATTTTTACTATGTTGGTCACTGTATGTCTGTATAATTTGTATAGAATTTGGTCCTCTGTAATGCTTTGGTTTTAATCTTTTAGTTAACTATAACTGTGGATAACATTGTGAAGAAACATGCAGTCAAACTTTGTTCTGTGTTCAAATCCAGCTTCTCTCATGTATTATGTTAATTTTTCCTCTCCTGTAAAATTACCTTTCTTATTGATTTCTTGTAAGAATCAATTGAGATAATGCATATAAAGTGTTCATAGAGGACCTAGCAAGTCCACAATAAATACTAGTTGGTATTGTTTTTATTATTAAACTCAAGAGGAATAATCGACGTTCCCATTAATAGAGTATGTCTGCAAGATAAAGTCAATATATATTCAAATTTATATTTCTTTTAATCTGTCGAGCTCAGGAAGACTGAAGTTCCTAACTGTAAAGTCATCACATTTCTTTGAACTATGTTTGCAGTCCCTATTCCCCAGCAGCGTGTCCTAAGAGTGATTCAGAGCTGGAGGTAAAACCCGCCGAGAGCCTGCTCAGATCCGAATCCCACATGGAGTGGACGTGGGGCGGGTTTCCAGAGTCCACCAAGGTACTAGAGTTTACTTGCCTACAGAGTTTGTCTCTCATCCATGAGTAAAGGATATTCTGTGTGAGCTAATATGAACATAAAGGATGACAGTGACCTCATGTGGTCACATAAGTAAATTCAAAGTAAACATTTTTCATGTTTGCCCTGTGTTTACAGCTGATGGAATCTAGCATTATTTTGTGTATTTCTATTTAGTAAATAATATTATTGGTTGTTAATTAACATTTTAGTAAGGAAAAATTTGAAGGTACCTAAAAGAAACTGAAATTTCCACACTGAAATTTTAAATAGGAAATTGATTGTGAAAGCATTTTTGCCAACTCATAATGAAAGAAGAAAGACTTGGAAAGATGCACTTCATATTTGTTTATTGAGAGACTGCTTTTATTTTATTTTGTGTATGTGAATAAACCTAACTTTGCTTTATATTTTTTTTATTTTCTTAATTTAAATTATAGTTAATGTGCAATATTATATTAGTTTCAGGTGTACAACATAGCAATTCAACATTTATATACCTTAAAAAGTGATCACCACAATAAGTGTAGTGCCCATCTGTCATACCAGTTATTACGATATTATTGACTCTAGTCCCTATGCTGTATTACATCCCCATGATTTTATAACTGGCAGTGTGTACTTCTTAATTCCCTTCCTCTTTTCCACCTGATCTCCCAACCTCCTCCCCTCTGGCAACCATCACTTTGTTCTCTGTATCTATGAGTTTGTTTCTGTTTCATTTTGTTTGTTCGTTTGTTTTCCTTTATAGATTCCACATATAAGTGAAATCATATGGTATTAATCTGTCTCTATTTCTTGGCAGAGAATATGTTTAGACCTTCTAGTTTTTTAAAAATACACACTTTGCTCATATTTGTGATTGCATTGATACTTGACTGCCCATTTTTCCTTTTTTTTTTTTTTTTCTTTTAATGGAGGTAACATTCGTTGGATTATAACACAAAAGTTTCAGGTGTACAACATTATAATTCAGCATCTTACGTTGTTTTAACAAAGCTTGGAAGTAGTCCAAGCAGGGCTAAATTTTCATGTAGCATTCAAGTTTTCTCCCTCAAAATGAATATTATCCTTCTTAGTATCTAAAAATTGTTGCATTTCCTCAGTCTTCGATGTTGAACTCTTCATAGTAGAGCAATTATATGTATAGAGAGAGAGAGAGCAATTTTATATATATATATATATAGCTATATCTATAGATATATAGATATCTATACAAATGATATTGAACAAAATGCAGTTATTTTTCCCACTTTTAATATGAAGTAGTTCACACATACCAAATGATGTATTTACTGAATGTTTGTTTTAAATGATCACATTTACCTGCATCCAGCTTAAGAAATAGATTATATAAACAAACACCTTTGAAAGTGGTTTAATTTTTAAACAATTCAACTTTTTTAGATCAACAAAAGAGAGAGATCTGACCATCATCCTAGGACTGCTACAATTACACCATCAGAAAATACCCATTTTCGGGTAATTCCCAGTGAGGACAACCTCATAAGTGAAGTTGAGAAGGATGCTGCCATGGGAGAAATGGTCTGCACCATAGTGAAACCAAAACCCAGAGCCTTGTGTAAGCAGATGAGCGATGCAACTTCTGCTGCAGATCTTCTCGAGCCTCCCTTTGAGCCGCCTCACATTTCATCTATGTTAGATACAGACTACCTTCCTAACCCATCGTTAGTGGAGGCTCCCTCAGACTCAAAACCAGCAGCTAAAGTAGATTCGCCATCAAAGAAAAAAGGTAATCATTTGTTTAATTTACGGCATTAGGTACTCTAAATTTACATAGTAAATTGTTCCAGTGTTTCAAATATGTGATGGCTACCTTTATATTTGTTTATGACATTTCTCCTTTAAGATATACTTTCTAAGAATAAGAATATTTTCTGTATAGCCATACTGCCATTGTCAAGTTGAGGAACTGATATTTGTATTTCCCTAAATGTACCAAGAATAGCTTTTTAGCTGTTTTTTGTTGTTGTTTTTTTTCTCCAAACTAAGACCTCGTTAAAGTTCACATGTTGCATTTGGTTTTATGTTTAAGCTTTTATTTAGAATAGCCTCCCTGCCCCTCCCCCCCCACACACTTCCACATGCATAAACATACACATTGCTACACCTCTTTCCCCCTCCACGCCCATGATATTGACCTTTTGAGAGCTCAGCCAATTGTCTGGTATACTTTCTTACATTCTAGATGAATCGGATTTTTTTTTCAAGGTAACATCCCCATATTTCCTTCAACTGGAAGTTAGCTCTGTCCAGTAGAAGTGTAATGTGGGCCATGTATATAATTTTAAATTTTCTAATATTAAAAAAGTAAAAATAAACAAATGAAATTTAGTAATACATTCTACTTAAGCCAGTCAATCCAAACTGTTATAATTTTAACATGTAATTCAGTATAAAAGTTATTGCAATTTTACATTATTATTGTAAGTCTTGGAAATCTGGTGTGTGTTTTACACATTTTACATACCTCATATCAGACTAGGACAGTTCAAGTTACTAGTCACATATGGCTGGTGACTACTGTAGTGGGCAGTACAGATCTAGAGGCTTAATTAGATTAATTAGATCTAATTAAATAATTAGATTTTTTATTTTTTAATTGAAGATTATGGGATATATTGAATACTTAATATTGTATCTCATAATGTCTCTATTAGTGATGCTAAATGTGATCACTTATTTAAAGTATGGTCTGCCAGTATGGTCTGCCAGTTTTATCCATTGTAAAGGATTTTTACAATGGATAAAACTGGCAGACCATACTTTATCCTTTGTAAAGGATTTTTACAATGGATGAAACTGGCAGACCATATCACTATTAGTGATGCTAAATGTGATCACTTATTTAAAGTATGGTCTGCCAGTTTTATCCATTGTAAAGGATTTTTGTCCTTTTGCAATTAGAAGGTAATACTTTGGCGTTATGTGAATATCCTATTCCCCAACAACCTTTCCCTCATGGTTTTAGAATAAGGGCTTCTTAGTGCTGGTGATTCCATCAAGTCTAGTCGTGCTTATTTGTACTATAAATATTTTTAAATTATCAATTATAAATTATTTAGGAGCTAGGAATATTCATGTAACAGCAAATGAATGAGTAAATTAGTGTATGTTTATTGAGCAACTGTCATATACCTCATGTAACACTCGTTTTCACTTCCTTTGGCATGGATGGTTGAAAACCAACACAAGTAAAAAGGTTATCTGACATTTTAAAAAATAAAGCCCAGTTCAAATCATGGTCATTTTTATTGTTTTGCAAACCTTTGTTTCCTTGCAGAGTTGTAAATGAAGAATGGTAATTAAGTTCTTATCTCTGAGGCATTTTTTTTTTATATATATAAAAACAGGTGTCCACAAGAGAAGCCAGCACCAGGGACCTGATGATATTTACCTAGATGACTTAAAGGCTCTAGAACCTGAAGTTGCAGCTCTTTATTTCCCTAAAAGGTAGTGTATTCCTTGTATATTAAAGGGTGAACAGCTCTGAGATATTCTAGCTATTTCTAGAGCAAAACATTTTGTCAGAGAGAAAGGAGTGAGAAGATAGTGTCCTTTAAGTTAGATGATTGCTTCAGATTTGGAAAATTCAGAAATGGTTCATATATTGTTTCGACAGTAGTGATTTGAAACTAATAATTTGCCTTTTTATGAAGAAATTTTTAATGTGATGAGAAGAGGTACACTAGTTAAACCTACATAAGGGTATACAAATGGACATGACTTCAGATTAGCACTGATTACAGTCATTAATGCAAACTCAGCATGCTTGGGAAAATTTGTTAATATTTATTATGTGTCTTAAAAGTAATCTGTCATTATTCAAAACCATTTTACAAAGAATACCTTCATTCCCTCAGTGAGTCTGAGCTCCCAAGCTTTTTCTGAACTCAAGCGTGGCTTTGGGGAGCCACCATTCCACCTGGCCTGTGCACCCCACATTCCCCAGAGCTCTCACCTCTTGTCACTTCCCCTCCCTCTCCCTCATGATATTCCCCTTTAAATAACTCTAAAACCTCAGATATGATATACTCATACTGTTTTCCCAACTTCATTTTCATTCCTAGGGAAATTCCATTATAAATACATTCTGTGATTACCAAAAACAACATTTCCCCATGGAAATGATTTGAATATAACCGAACCATAAACACACATAATTAAACACTTTTAAATAAATTATTGGAAAACGTATTTCATTTTTATTTAAAATAGATGGGATTGATATGAAAGTATTTAAATTTTTTAGGTATTTTTGGAAGGTCCTTAAAACTTCCTAATAGTTCTCTAAATTTGTCTTGAATATTTACTTCATTTGAAGTAATAGTTGGATTTTTAAGGTGAGAGAACTGGAACTCCTCCATTGCTCAGTTTTTTTCCAATAAGTAAGTTAAAATGTGAACTGTCTTAGAATTATCGCTTTCTTTCAGATTTTCCAGTCCTTAATCATTTACTTACATCGGAATTCCTAAGATAGATTTCTTTATTTTCCTTTTAAAAAATGGGGCAAGTGAATAATGAATGGGACCTTACTGTGCTCTATTATAATTCGACGGTTTAGGATCATTGTTAAGTGGACCTGCACAGTTCAAACCCGAATTGTTCAAGTGCTGGTGTTTGGTAGGCCTTGCACACAGGGATTCAGGAGCACAGGCTCCTTCTACCTGGAGGTTTCACCATCCCTTTAGATCCTCAACAGGAACAGGAGAGGGAGTCACATGGGAGAGTTATCAGGGGCCACTCTTGGGAAGGGCACAGCACACCCCATCTGTTCACATCAACTCAGTCATCTGGTCATGTGGCCACACCTGACTGTACTGGGACTTAGCTGTGTGCCCAGGAAAAATGAGGGGTTTGTCTGTGTTTTACCCAAGGAGTCAGTCTTCCCCTCCACCCCAGCCTAACAGCAGGCTTTGCTGCCTTACATTGGCTGTGGCTTTTTTTTTTTTTTACCATTTCCAGTGAAGAGAACCTGAGTAAATCTCAATATTGTGATATGGCTGTGCATTGCTATTAAGAGAGAACATTCCCAAAAATCTGAATCTTCTGTTTGAGTGCAAAACAATAGCTTTTCAAACCGCTTTCTAGATAATGACATATCTGTATTCTGCTGCCACCTATTGCTCAAATTTGAGATTTTTTTTTCCTAAAGATCATATAAGTACACTGGATTGCATATATTAATTGCATACATTAAATATATTGGCTTTCTAAATAAAAGAATTGGAAAATTCTAAAACAATATTTCAGTGTGACATCCATTCAAAGGGTGTAGAGCAATAAATATTCATGACTAAGAAACTTAAGATGCCATTTTCTTATTCTTTTTCTCTCAAATTTAATGCTCCATTGCAAAAAAGATTCCCTTAGCGTCACCATCTAAAACCTGGCTTCTGTGCCTCATGTAAAAAAATGAAAACATTGAATAGCCTATTTATTTGAGGCCCTCATTCTAATGTAAAAACAGTTTATTTCTAGTTTATTTCTCAATACATTTCTTTTTGTATTGAGAATATTTTCTGAGACTATTTTCTGGCTTAATTTCTTTGTTTTCTGGAGTAACAGATAAATTTAGAAAAGTCTTGTTTTTAAAAATAATACAGCCTTGGACTATAGTAATTTTCTACAGGATGTATATAGTACCACAGCTTTTTCTAGGAAGTTAGGATAAAGTTTCCAGACATCAGATTTTTCTTAATTACCCTGTCATTTTCTTCATGGAAATATAAATAACTGCTTATAACTCTTTCACTCCTTTAATTAAAACCAGAAAGGCTATAGTTGAAATGTTTGTGTTATTGTGAATAACTTAATAGTGATTTTCATGACATATTTACTATATTCACAGTTAATTCCTCATTAGTGCTAATAGGTTATTTTTTACTATCATTTATGTGATTCTAATGCTACCTAAGAAGAGACTGATCGTAGATTAATCTACTGCTTTATAAAGAGGATATGTTATTTGGTTTGAGCCATCAGAGAACCATTTAGTAAGCTGGGAATACAGGAAGTTGTAATAAAGCAAATTCTTCTTTCCCTGTCCCCTGCCCACAGCGAATTGGACCCTACTTCCAGGCAGTGGCCTGAGTCTGATACACTCTCTGGCTCCCAGTCCCCACAGTCTGTGGGAAGTGCAGCTGCTGATAGCGGCACTGAGTGCCTCTCGGATTCTGCCATGGACTTGCCCGATGTCACCCTCTCCCTTTGTGGGGGCCTCAGTGAGAACGGAGAAATTTCTAAAGGTACACTTAGCAGTCTTGCCCTACCTTCACTTGAGAAAGCAGCCTGGTCATCACTTGATTGAAAACCTGCTGTTTAGCCATTTCGGAGTATTAAATCCTTTAGTGATATTGTGCAGTTAACAGGTGTCTCCCTTTAATGAAAGACCCATAGCCCCTTGCTTAAGATATCTCATATTGGGTGACATTACATATAAATAGCTTGGGCGAGGGAGTGTGCCTTGAAGGCTGTCACTTCACAATAAGAGGTTGAGAGGTCTTAGGCTGCCTCGTTTGCTGAGCAGCCAGGATCAGCTCAAACTATGTCATTTTTTCTTCTGTGAAGTTGTTGAAATATCTGGGACTGGGGCCCAGCTGCCCTCCTGGAAAACAGTGAACCTTAGATAGGAACGTAGGGCTTGAAGTTGTGAAAATTGATTGTTCACTGAGTAAATGGTCTTTCTAGCAAAAAGTAAAAGGAATTACTTTCTGTCTCGGTGTTGAGAGCTGGCCCAGGAGAAAGGAAGTAGCTTAGCAGATGTAGTTTAGAGGCCTTCAATGTGGATTGAGCATCTGTGTATGCATCTGTCCCAAGTTCTCCAGCATTTTTGGTTTTACCTTCCTTTGTAAACTAAACTCTTCTTAATATTTTCTCAACTTGGCTGGTGGCCTTTGGTTGATTTTCCTCTAAGGAAAGATTTATTTTTATGACTAGCATCATCTTTTGTCTTCTCTCACCCTCAGAGCAACTGAAGGCTCGCATGTGACAGCCTGGGTGCCCTGAGCCTTACAATTTTTTTTCCTAATAATTTTCTTCTTGGGGTCACAGGGTGTTCATTATGCCTCTTTCTTCCTCATCTCTTAATTCTATTTGTTTTATTTTTTGCAAGAAATTAAGAGTGTATTATGGCCAGTGGTTCCTTCCAGGGACAAAATCAAATAGGTCACATTCTTATTATAATCTTCATAAGGCTTCACTTAAAAAATATATAGGAGATGAGGAGTGGAAAATTTACAAGTTATATAAATTATAAAATTTACACTTTAAAAAAAGTATTGGAAACTTATGTGTAGAGTTTGTTATTGGAAGGAGGCAGAAATGGCAAGTAAAAGTAAATAATATACAAATTAACAGGAGGAACAATCTCAGTGAAAATTTTCTTTTTAGCTTGTAGAGTGTTTAGGACTAGGGTATAAAAATTCATGCAAAATTCTCATTCATTCAGCAAGAACTTAAGATTTACTTTTTGATAGACCCTAAGCCAAATTTTGGTGTATGTTTGTTTTTTTTCTCCAAGCAGTTGTAAAATGTTTTGTTTTTTTCTAATGTAACATGCACTTAAAGCTGTAAGACCCCCATGAATATTCCTGTTATGCAGTTGCCTGCCAGTAAAGAGTTTCTCCTTTTGATAAAAAATGAAACTTACAGTTTTTGTTAGTTATAGAGCATGTGCATGCGTGTGTGTGTGTTCCTCTTTCTCTCTGGCCACATCTGTAATTTCCTTTCCTAAAAGTCTCTGGCATATCTCTTTGTCCTGGTTTTGAGTGTTTTCTCTCTCTCTCTGTCTCTCTCTCTCTCTCTCTTCCTCTTCTTTTCTTAGGCTGCCTTGTTTGCTTTCTTTTCCTTTCTTTTCTTTCTTCTATCTAGGGAGAAGACATGTGCCCCAGGGCTGGTGGAAATGGAGAAGGGGAAGGGTAGAAAGTGGATTTTCTTGTCCTGGGGAAAGAAAAGTGTCTTAACATTGTGTTTTTAATAGATATATAAAAAAAAAATTTTAAAAAGGACATTTTATTTTATCCTATAATCCCTTTAATGCAGAGAGTATTGTGATATTGGGAATTTAAACTCTAACCAAATTGATCATTATTATTTTACATTGCAGAAAAATTCATGGAGCATATCATTACTTATCATGAATTTGCAGAGAACCCTGGACTTATAGACAATCCTAACCTTGTAATACGGATATATAACCGGTAAATACTGTTGTTTTTGTAATTGTTAAATACTCTTGCAGGTTTTTTTCCAAGTGCCCTTTTTAACTATTCCAGTTTTTCTTGCTATGAAGTATGTCATTTCATATAAATGAGCTAATAGGCAAAGACTTAGAAGTAAAAGTGAAACCTCAACTTCATTTCTAAATGAAGCATTAAAATGTGATTCTGTTTTGTAGATTTTACTGCTTCTCTGTTCAGAGAAGTTTGGCTTGAAGCAAAGATTATTCATATAACAAAAAATTTAGCTGATCATCTTTTTACTAAAAAGAATAAGGAATTTCTACACATCTTCCTCCCCCACCTTTCTCCCTGCCTCCCTCCCGCTTCTTTCCTTCTTTTTTTCTTCCTCTCTCCCTTCCTACCATCTTTTCTCTCTCCCTCCCTCTCTGTGTAATGGTTTTTTACAATTGTTATTTCTTACAGTTACTATAATTGGGCTTTGGCTGCTCCCATGATTCTTAGCTTGCAAGTATTCCAGAAGAGTTTGCCTAAGGTGAGATGATCTGCCATTTTTTGTCTTTTCAAAAGTATATACAGCATAGAGTACTTAGAAAAATCCATATATGCGTATTTCTAAATTAGGTACTCTTTAAAGTTTTATTTAATGTTATAAAAGTTCTTTTCTGTGTGCCCACTCAAATGATCGCATGCCCAAAATCTAGGAAATCAGCTCAACGGCCACATCTTTGTCATTTTTACTAGATATTTATACCAATTTGCTGTTGTATATAAAAGTTGAGAGATTTTACTAATTGCATATAGAATAAAAAAAATTCCTCTCATTAACATGGAAAGAAGCAGCAAGAAGAGAGTGATGTGGCCCCCCAGAAGCATGACATCAGTGTGATTAGATCAAATTGTGGCTAATAAACCTGTATGTATAACCTGAAGGTTTGCTTTAAATCTTCCCTGCATGAAGACATCATCACTATAGTTGGTCCTCATAACTCAGGGGAGCCATATTTTTTAAGGGTACAGACATGAGAGCAGCCTAACTGCCAGCCCCCTTAGAGGGGGCTGCTCCTCCATAGTCGGACCATTCGGTCTCATACCGCAGATCTGCTACAAAGCCATACTGCCACGAAAGAGGACACTTTCCATCTCCTGTAGGTGTTAAAAACTCTAGAGGAGTCTTGGAAGTGTGGTGATCGTTGCTTGTACTCCATGATAAGGCACCGTCTTGCAGGCTAGTGGTAGAAAGTATTAGTCAGGTGCTTTGTGACCAACAGATTGCTAGACTAACCCAAGTTGATTGTTTCCAGGCCACAGTTGAGTCCTGGGTCAAAGATAAGATGCCAAAGAAATCTGGTCGCTGGTGGTTTTGGCGTAAGAGAGAAAGCATGACCAAACAGGTAACCAACCTGGAGGGTCCTTTCCTTGAGCTAAAAAGAAGTGAATCTCATTTATTCAAAAAAACTGTCAAGCACAAAAAAAGTCCTTTAGAGCTATATAATGCTCTTTTACAATAACAACAGTTGCCATTTTTGAACAGTTACTACGTGCAGGTACTATGCTAGATGCTTTATGCATGTTACTTTTCACCCAGTAGTATAGATAGTTTGAGTTCCCATCATACAGGTAAGGAAACTGGGGGACAAAGAGGTGGAATGCCTTGACTAGAGTACCATAACTGGTGAAGATGGAGCTAGGGTTTGACCTTGACTCCACCTTCAACACCTGTGCTCTTTCCATTTCACTGCATTACCTTCCAGATAGAACAAGAGCTTATTACAGTCCTACACAGGAGGAAGAGGCATCAGTCACTTCTGTTCTGTAGTCTCAGTGTCCCTGCCATGAACCTAATGAGTGGACCAGTTGTGTTATATTTTGTGACTTGAAATAGTGCTCTTTAAAATTTTTACTTCTGACTTTGTAGTGACAGCTTTCGTATAGCAGCATATGACTTCTACCAGGTTTCTGTCCTTTGGCTTAAACTAGAAACAGTCTGTTTTCTTGAGCATTTTTAAACTGTGGGTTCAGAAAGCAGTTTTGCTTATTCCTGGAGAGGGCAGCTGATGAATTTTTGTCAGTACGGGAAAAAATTGCACTTTGCCATTATTATCTTGCCTTTTAGCTGCCAGAGGCCAAAGAAGGGAAATCCGAGGTGCCACCGACCTGTGACCTACCATCAAGTGCAAAGGAGCCAGCCAGTGGCAGGTGGGGGCACCCTGTCCTTCCTCTAGGCTCACAGCAGTTGGGCCACCCCTGCTTTGGTCATTGCATTCAACTTGAGTTTGACAATTTTGTTTAATTCTTAGAAATATCTTTCTCCTATGGACACACATGAATAAGTGGCTTTTTTGTGCCACTCAGCTAGCAGATGATAAAAATATTATTCGCTTAGAGGTATAAATATACTCATCACTGCCTTCTAAGTACCTCACTCCCATCCTGGAGCCATAGAATCAGATGCCTGTGAAGTGTAGGCCTTTGAGAAAGGGGAATCTTGAGGAGTCCTAAGATGGACTGTCCCGGTGTTCCTGCTCTCTGGCTTCCTGTCAGGCACAAAGGGGAGATATAAAAGAGACTCTCAAAGATTGCTGTGGGCCTGTTTCATTTCTCGAAAGAAGTAGCGTGCTGGCTCTGAGAGGCAGTGCCACAATATACCCCATTCTTGTTTCTGCCATCTGTGCACTTTCCCTATTCAGATTCTTTCTCCTTCCATTCCCTAACTCCTAGTAGTCTGAGACTATTTTCCTTGCTCTTTACCCTCTTTTAAAAGGGGCGTAGACTTTGAGCATCATTTCATATGTCTGTTGGCTATCCATAGGTACTCTTTGGAGAAATGCCTGTTCAGGTCTTCTGCTCATTTTTTAGTTGGATTATGTGTTTTTGGTGTTGAATTGTATGAATTCTTTATAAATTTTAGATATTAACCCCTTATCAGAAGTATCATAGTCAGATATTTTTTCCCATTCAGTAGGTTGTCTTTTCATTTTGTTGATGGTTTCCTTTGCTGTGCAAAAACTTTTTAGTTTAATGCAGTCCTATTTGTTTATTTTTTCTCTTTTGTTTCCCTTGCTATGGAGTACAGCATAGAGAATATAGTCAGTAATATTGTAATGGTTATGTATAGTGTTAGGTGGGTACTAGAATAATTGGGGGGCTCACTTCATAAATTATATAAGCATCTAGCCATTGTGCTGTGCACCTGAAACTAATAGAAAATAACATTTTAAAAAGGCAGGAGAGACATCCATTAAAGGTACTAAATTATAAAAGTTTTTCTTCCATAGTTTTTTTTAATTAAAGATAAATATTATTGATTTATAATAAATAAATAATTCAGTATTATTGTAATGGTTATGTATAGTGTCAGATAGATGCTAGAGTAATAGGGGGGAATCACTTCATGGATTGTGTAAATGTCTAACTTTTTAAAATTTTAAATAAAAATTTAAAAATAAATAAAAGGGGTATAGAAAATCTTTCATGTTAGTTTTTTAAATCAGCATAAGCATTTAATTTATACCTTTTGAAACATACGTATCCTCTTTCACAAGTAGATCTAGTAGCACGTATTCATGGATCACAGTAGAAAATGCCCCGTCACAGCCAGAAAGTAAAAGCTGGCCAGTCATGAGAGGGAGGAGGAAGGTGGCCTTATTACTTCATGAAATGAATATTCAGGCATGAAAGCTGGATGTGGGAGAGCAGCAGAGGGAGCAACTCTTCCTTCTCTTGAGCCTAAATGAAAAACTCGCATTAATAAAACAGCCTACTGCCTCTTCATAACTGGGTTGATGTTCAGTAGGCCAATTGAGGATGACTCATCCAGTGACGAGGGGTCACAGGAGCTCGAAGAATCAATCAAAGTGGACGCTGTCCACATGGAGCCCCCGAGCCACAGCAGCACAACCTCATATAAGAAATCTCTTCGCCTTTCCTCAGACCAGATCGTGAGTAGTGTGTGATCTGTGTGGATGTAGCCCGATTATCTTAGTAACTGTTTAAGTTGACCTGCTTCCTCTTCTGTCTAACGTGGTGTGTGGTTGTGTAAATCTTCACATACAGTAGAACAGCACCCCACCCCCAGGAACCACCGGAATCACCTGGGGAACCTGGGACACAGCTTCCTCCGCCACCTGAGACCTCTCGTCTCAGTCCCTGGGAGTGAGCTGAGGAATCTGTATTTTTAACCTGTTTCCCAGATGAATCTTACACAGTTAGCCCATCACTGGGCCACCTACTGTCTCTTGAGAGCCACAACAATAGAAAAATATTGTTTTCTTATTTAGACACAACTTCCTCCTTCCTGTTTGTTTCCACTCCCTGACTTTTCACCTATTTTCACTGTGAAATGGTCTCGGTGTACCCCAGGACAGTCCTAGGTATGAGGGAGAAGCAGAGAGGTTTTGTGTTTGGGAGATCAGAAAAATCTCTTGGAATCACAAGCATCATTCAGACAATGGCTCCCTCAGCCCAGCTCACTGAGAGTGAGCTGTTTGCATAGCACTGGACCAGGTGTGTGGTAATGTGATAGACACCATCCTGTTTTGTAAGCATTTAGACTTTATTCCATAATTTTCTTGTCTTTTTGTTCCAGTTAGCATGTTAATGTATTTCTTTTCTTTGTGTATTCATACACACATATGTACATTTATCTATTTTAAAAATTAGGATCCTTTTTCACTTAATATTTCTTAAGCAATCTGAGTGACTACATATTGGAAAATGAGAATTTTAATTGTTGTATGTAATCTCATCAAAGTGATGTACCTAATTTTTAAAATTCTGCTTTGCGATTTTATTCTTTTTATAAAAGGCAAAACTGAAGCTCCAAGATGGCCCAAATGATGTCGTGTTTAGTATTACAACCCAGTATCAAGGTACCTGCCGCTGTGCAGGGACCATTTACCTGTGGAACTGGAATGACAAGATCGTCATTTCTGACATTGACGGGACAATAACCAAGTAAGCAGGAGCCAGTGGTGGGTGGCAGGGAGGGAGGTGTAGGTCAGTGTGCAGTGGGGTGGTGGGCAGGGGAGGTTCCCTCAACAGGCATCTGGCCCTCAGCCATTGTCAATAGTGTATTTTAAACCAAATGCACTGAGACATCCTGAGTGCAGTCCACATAGGGTCAATTTACAGATAGAGAGAGATGGGTGGAATCATACAAGTGTAGTGTCAAAAATAACTTTGTAAAGATTTAGTTATTTGGTCTCTAAATTTTAGCATTTAAAAAAAATCTAGAAAGCTGTTAAGATTAAGGAGGAGAAAAAGAATGCATAATTATAAACTGTCTCTGAAAATGAACAGCTGGCTCTCATGTCTGATTCTACTTTGAGAAGTTCTTCAGTGGGTGTGTTTGCAGGCGACTGTTCACTGTTGCACAGGCCATGACGAAATCACTTTCGTAGATTGTTCTGCCCTCCCACTGCCGCCCTTCCTGCACACGTTATTTTGTGGCAGCTGGTATACAACTAAAAAGGAAAACACTTGGCTTTATATGCTTGGTTCCTAATACCATTTTTTATTTCTACCCTTTTAGGTCTGATGCTTTGGGACAGATTCTTCCACAGTTGGGTAAAGACTGGACTCATCAGGGTATCGCAAAGCTCTACCACTCCATCAATGAGTAGGTCTCCCGTCCCACCTGGTAATATGCAGTGCAACAGAGAAAAGAGTGCCATGTCCTTTGTGGGACCCTAATACATACAAATTAAATTGATTTGAAAAATTACAGTGTCTTAAGCATTAGTTGAAAATGCTCTAATATGAAAATTATGTCAGTTACCTAGGTATAATTTTGCTCCTTGGCTTACAGAATGCTTTGCATTCTCTAAATTATCTGTATAAATAAGATCCTTTGTATCTTTTCTTTATAGCAGATTATTTAAAAATAGTCCACAGTTTTTTGTCTGTTCTATAACCTGGCTTTTATGGACTAGATGCTGAAGATACATTGATACTTGTAAATTTAGCATAATTCCTAGTTGCACATAACCTCCGTTTTTCCCCATGGTGTTTTCCATGGAAAGGTGAAATCTTTATAATCCTAATTTACTGTTAAATTCAGGAATTTTATTATAACTGTAAATGAGGGGATCTTTATTTGGGTCTTTTAAAAGGAAAATGCTCTTTTTCGCCTTTAGCCAAAGCACGATGGACTAAACAGGACATATTCTCTTTCAGGAACGGCTACAAGTTTCTGTACTGCTCTGCCCGTGCCATCGGCATGGCTGACATGACCCGTGGCTACCTGCACTGGGTCAATGACAAGGGCACAATCTTGCCCCGGGGCCCTCTGATGTTGTCCCCTAGCAGCTTGTTCTCCGCCTTCCACAGGTACTTCCCCAGCGTGCAGCCATTCTGAGTGAATGGGAAGCAGAGGCTGAGGCCTGAATGGATTGTATGTGAGGACTGTATGTCAGGCTCGTTGGAAGGGTTTGTACCTGTTTAAGAACTTCTGTGTCTGAGTTCTATGGCTCCCCAATAGCATTCAGGTGAGACAACTCACCTGGTCTTTGTCAGGCTCAGAAAGTCAAGTTCAAGGAGTGGTTTTCTCTTTCTCCAACCCCATCAGATTTTGTTAGTCATGAGCTTTTGTTAGGCAGAGAAGGAGAAAGAAAAATAACAGTTACAACGGATTAAAAAAGTTGGATGGTTGTGAGCACTAAGTCTTTCCAGGACCACACACCAGGGAAGACTACCATTTTTGAATTTGGTGAGTGTATTTGAATTTTTTTTCCCTAGGGAAGTGATAGAAAAGAAACCAGAGAAATTCAAAATTGAGTGTCTCAATGACATCAGGAATCTGTTTGCACCATCTAAGCAGCCCTTCTATGCTGCCTTTGGAAACCGTCCAAATGTAAGTGTCTCCTGTGGGCTGCGCATTCTGAGAAATGTGCTTTTAGGTATAGCCATGCCATAATTCTCAAATGAATTTTATAGGCAAATGACTGTTCTTTAAATCAGTTTTCACTTCATCTGTTCCAGATTTCTAAGTACTTGGTGAATAATGAAGGGCACTTTCTCTTTGCGGTTTCAGTTCTGTTTCCTCAGACAGTTCTCACTCACGTTCTACTTGGTTCTAAGCTTTGTCTTCAGATCCTCCCTAGAACCATGGCATGAGTGCTCACCCTTCATTAATGCTTCCCGGACCTGCCTCCCTTCAGAGGGTCCCTCAGATCCTAGGCATGCAGAAGGAGCTGCTTCCTGGCTTCTGGCAGGCATTGGGGCCCCTCCTGCTCCACGGTCCCTGGTGTCTCCTTGGTGACCATGTTTCCTGACTCCCCAAGTGCCCTCTGGGTTTGGCTTCACTCTTAGTTTGGGTTTGTCTAAAGCTCAATTTCAGTGGAATGCTGTACAGTGCCCAGCTCTGCATGTTTTCCATAGACAGTCTGCTGTTTGTGCAGTTCTAGCTCACAAGGGACTGGAGAAGCAGCTCCTAATTTATTCTCTTTGTAATCACCTTTGCTTCGTATTTTCTTCTCCAGGATGTCTATGCTTATACACAAGTTGGAGTTCCAGACTGTAGAATATTCACCGTGAACCCCAAGGGTGAATTAATACAAGAAAGGACCAAAGGAAACAAGTCCTCGTAAGTGTGTTTCTACTTCTTAACCTAGAACTCTGTAGCCAAGGTGACACTAGGGACAGACAGATACTCAGGATCAGGCCTCACTCAAAGTATCAGAACTGTACCTGCCTTTGGAGGCTTTCTTCTTTGCCTGGTATTTTCTCCTCTATGGGATCGCTGATTCTCCTAGACTCTGAAGAGAGAGTCTGTACCCCAGGAAGGGACGGAGGCCTATCTTGGGTCCTTTCCATCAGAGGAATCTGAATTACTAGCTTTACAACCTGCAATCTCTGCTCTTAGGTCAACTTCACAGTAACAGTTCGTGTGTTTCTTTCCCAATCCCTTCTAGGTATCACAGACTGAGCGAGCTCGTGGAGCACGTGTTCCCACTTCTCAATAAGGAACAGAATTCTGCCTTTCCATGCCCAGAGTTCAGCTCCTTCTGCTACTGGCGAGACCCAATCCCCAAAGTAGACCTGGATGACCTGGCCTGAGGCAGCACCTCCAGGGGAGGTCCTCAGTCGCTCGTTTTGCAACAAGGGAAGGTGACCTGCACTTCTGCTGGACAGAGAGCACTGGGCTCCCCTCCCAGCCACTTGTGCGGGATAAGACCCGTATTGACAGCTGGGCAGCAGCAGGGACCAGGAGAGCTCCTGGAGCTGGAACTGCCATCTCCTTCACCCTCCCGGGCTTAGCCCGGTTGCAACTTCGTGCCCCAGCGGAAGAAGTAAGGGGAGGTCAGACCTGAGACTGGAGACCTGGGCTCCTGTCATTGGTCGACCCTCACACACGCTCCGTGTGGAGTTGTGTGCTGGGTGCTCCTTTAATCGCATAATTTAAAAGGAAGAAAGAAGCTAAATAAGAGTGGACCAAAATATTGCACAAAGTAAAGTATTATCATTTCTACTGGGCAGTTGAAAGTGTTCTCTCTAAAACCAGGGCTTTCTTCAGGGTATCAGGGTCCACCGAACTGCTACAGAGCCAGGTCGTGATGTTGGTTCAGCCATCCATACACATTTCTTCTTTGTGCTCCTCCTTCCCTGCTGCACTGAACTGGAACAGCCGCTGGGCGGAGGCCTAGGCCACGCATCCCATCCCCACAGACGGGGGCTTCTGGAGAAAAGCCCCTCAGATCATCACCTTCTCATCTGACTGCTCCATGATGGGAGACCCATAAGTTATGTCTTGGACTAGCCAGAAGAAACAGTTTTGCGGGATATGTTTGATGTTTGTAAGAACTAACAGTGGGAATTGGTTAAACAGCAAAGAACAGCTCTGCTTTCAGGGAGGCCTTGGAAGTGCAGGTGTGTATACTTGTGCTGGCTCTGGGAAGGGCCTTGTTCTCCGCCCTTCTGCTGGCAGCTCAGTTTCCTGGCCTGGTTATAATGTGCTCATGTCAGAGTCTGAGCAGACACATCAGGTTCTGTCCCATAAACCCTTCCAGAGCTGGGAGACCCTGGAGCTATCAGGCTAGGTGTTAGAATCAAGAGAATTGTTAGGTGGCTTTCAGGGGACCAAAAATGACCAAACATAGGTCTGTTGGTAAGAAGGCAGTGAGCCAGGTTCCAGAGCAGAGAGACAGCTGCGGGTCTAGGCACCACCCCGCTCGGGATGGTTTCCATTTCCGGCTCTGCTTTTCCCTGTACTCGTATTGGGGGCTTTCCTCCTTTTAGTGTGCTCCACCCAAAATAACACTAATGTAAATATGGAGAAATGGGAGTGGTTATTTTTCCAGATTGGAGAGTTGAAAGGCCCTGACTTAGCCGTTTTCCTAGTGCTGTTGGATGCAGAGACCATGGTGAAGTCCTCAAACACGGTCTCAGTGGCAGAACCTGGAGGCGTATGTTCCCAGAGGGGGAGTGACATACACTTCCTCCAGTGCAAACCTTCCCGCCTTAAGTAGGTCAGGGACTAGTTTAAAGAGTTTATTTATGTACAGTAGGTAGGGAAACTATAGATTATGTTTATGTGAAGTTCTGCCCAGGTATTGAATTCAGTCCCTAGTATGGTGTCCATGCGGTTACTTCACCTCATAGGTGCTGTCGGTGTCCTCGACCGTGTTTGCTTTAGAAGAACATGAGCTTCATGCGTTTAACCAGCTTAGTTGGGCCTCTGCATATGTGCCGGATGGAAAACCTTAATATACACTTTCTGTATTCCTTTATAAGTTGTTCTTTAAAGGGTTTTTGACTAGACAGTTTCTTTGTCTCTGGACTCATGGACCTTCTTAGCAGGTCCAACCTGGGAATCCAGGTCTGCTGGGCCTGCACTGAGGGCAGCCAGTCCCTCTGTCCCAGTGGTCCTAAGTGCTAGACTGTCATTCCATTGCTGCAGATTGATCCAATGGGCACACTAATTACGAGTCTTTTTCCTTAAAGGAGTCCCTCTTGCTGAAAAGTAGATGATTACTATTACTGTAGTGTTACGAAAGTATTGTTTGTGCTGAAAATCCATTGCCATTTGGTACAAATGACATGTGTTCTTTCTGTGAAAGAGAGATGCCCTTGAGTGTGTTTGTACACAGGTCCTTACGATAGTGAGTAAATGAAGACACATTAGCTGCATGCTGCTCTCAGAACAGTGTCACGGGGAGATTGCAGGCAGATTGAGCCCTTCTGAGTCATCCTCTTGGTTGCTTCACTGCTGAAATGGCCATGGCCCCTTTCCCATTTCCCAGCTCAACCTGACTTTCATATCTGAAGCTTGTGCACCCTTGGCATGGACATCTTACCAGGCATTAGGAAGTGTACGTGTGGGCCCGAGCATGCCCACGTAGCTCTGTGTATGAGTACTGTGTTTGCTCTGCTTAAAAGCATCTGCATAGTTTTCAACTGGAAAAAGGAAAAGCTTACTACTATGATGTCCTAAAATGAAAGCTGCTAACAGTCACAGGTAGAATGGCTGGAGAATCGCAGCTAGTCAGTGGCTGGAAGTACTTGTGCCCTGTAAGATGGCGCATGGCCTTCCACACGGTTCTTGAAGGTGCAGACAAGACCTTTTAAAAATAGGTAAGTAAACTTTCTCCTTTTTTGCAAGTTGGTGAAAACAGACTTTTCCAGGGATTTTTAACATCTTTTCAATATCATTTACTCTGGGAAGTCTTGTTTTCCCCTGTTTTAGAGCATGCTGGGTTTAATAAAGCTAGTTTAAAGTTGAGTTTTTAAAGTAAGTGCTCTTTCCAGGTGAAAACTTTTTTGGTTTGTTTTAAAAGTAAGAAAAGGAGAGGGAAACTTTGTTCTTTTAATTTAATAATTACAGTCTATGATGAAGTATTTGATTATTAGATAGCGGTGCCACTAATAAGTTTTAAGTTGTCAAAAATTAATTGTAAACATCAGTCCAGTACTCTTAGTTATGGCAAAGACAGTTGTCTTAAGATATGGCTCATATTTTGGTGCAGTGTTTGATGTTCAAAACAAAATGTTACAACAATAAACAAACATAAACCGAATGCATTTGACTCTTTCCTTCAGAGGACATTTAAACCGTCTTCTCTGTACTCTTGCCAGAAATTGATAATTTCCATAAATTAGCATTTTGATCTTCGCTGACACTTAAATTTGTGTACAGAAAGGGCTTATTTTGGGTGCTTGTTTTTATAAAACCTGACTCCAAAAGTGAGGCTTCACTCTTAGGAACTGAACTCTTGCTTTGTAGGTTCTGCCAGGGAATGAGTCATTTATACATATGTAATTTCTGGTGTGTTCTCACTGGTATTCTCTAGGCGTATTTCTAACCCACCCCTCAGCCTTTCAGGGGTCCCCTGAGAATCCCACTCAGAGCCACCCCACCTTTCATTAAAACTTTTCTTAGGGTGAGTACTACTGACCAATCCTGATGTTTTCATCAGCTTAGAGTCACAGTGATCTTGGATCAAAACCCACATCCCACGTATTATTTAAATGAGCATCTTTGTGTCAGATCACCAGACCCTGCCAGATGCCGCATGTGCTGAACATGTTGAATCCCAGAAGACTTCTTTGCGGGTGTGCCTTCAAGTGTGGGAAAGCTCTTGCTTCGTGCCTGTTTGCCATGCAGTGATGGCTGGGTGAGAGGTCGGGGAAGGACACTGGGGCTCTTTGGGGTGGATTTTGGGAAGACAAAGGAAGAGCTCAGAGAAGTTGATTATAAAGGAAATGGCTTTTACTCAGAACAGCTTTGAGTGCTTCAGGGAGGAGCAGTGTAGGTTCCATCCCTGAGCTCTCAGAGGGCCTGTCCCAGCTGCAGCTTCCTTCCGCTGTACGCTGCACCCCTTCATTTGCATGTATCTTTCTTTTTCTTCCCCTTTGATAGGACAGTACAGGGAAGGCTGGTATATATGTTTAGAAAGTAGAGAGGTGCAAAGCCGTGTTTTAGATTTACAAGTGTAGATTTGGGTTTGTCTCTGATCACAATACCTGTTTCCTTTCAAACTGCAAATTGTGAGAAACAGTTGAAAAGATGATACAGTCACTAAGAAAACTAAATGTGCTAATGTGGAAATGATTTTAAATGCAGTCTGCATTGATTTATATTCTTTATTGCTGGGATCATTGTGTTTTTAATCATTTAAATGAGGCCATTTGCTAATGTTTCATGCAGGGGAGAAAACATGTCCCAGTCCTCTCTTTGCTGACCTTAAGTGCCCTGACCTTTTTCTCAGCAACAACTTTATTTTAGAGGTTATAACCCTGTGGCCCATTAAGTCCTAGGGCTTGGTTTACATGTCTCACTTGCAGCCACACAGCTTGGGGCTGCTCACAGGTGACCTTGTGTTTTCTCTCTGCCTTTCCCTTTTGAAAGATGCTTCTCTAAATGAGTCACAATCCAGCTTTCATCCTATTTCATCCCGAAGTGAAGGTAGGACTTGCTGTGATTAGACTGCCTACTTTGCCTGTCTTGAAGATACAGCTGAAATTCACCTTTTCAGTTAATGAGTCATCAGGATGCACTGAGAGAGGAGGACCAAGTGTTACATGGTGCTCTAGAGAACCATCTAGAGTAGAAAAAATGAAAAGTAGTCACTACCTTCTTCATCTCTGCCTTTTCTACTATTGTGCTTGTGTCCCCTTAGGCACCAAGTATGGTCTTTACAAGGGGGTGTGCAGAAGAGAGCAAAAGCGTGTGCACACGCCAACTGGGTTTTCCTGAAAATGCTCCATTGCATTGGGGTTTTTCCTATGAGTCATTTCTAGGAAACCAGCAATACTCTGACAGCCACTTTTACCCAGTTACCAGCTGGAGAAATGGGATGAGGATGCCATTCTTCCACCCTGCTCCTGGACTTTATTTTAGAGGTTATAACCCTGTGGCCCATTAAGTCCTAGGGCTTGGTTTACATGTCTCACTTGCAGTCCCAGACTGCAAAAGAGAGTCCCAGACTTTAAAATACTAAAACAGCAAACCCTCAGGTTCTTGGTCACTGCTCCCTAGCTGAGGGAGGGGGTGAAGAAGGCTCTTTGCAGTGTCCAGTGGCCACCCTGTGATCTCGTTTGCAGGCAGTCTTGGAAACGCAAAGTAGTTTTTACAGCATGAGAGTATCTGGTGGCTTGATTCAGGCCAGGCCAGGCCAGGGAAACAAGTCTACAGTCCAGATCTTTCCCTGAGGCGCTAGGGCACTTGCCTCCCCCAGTGGCTCTGGTCTGACAGAGTTTACTAACCTGAGCAGAGACCCCTGGTGCTAAGGTTCTGGTGCGCCTAGAGGTTTCCGTGGCTGCTGGGAAGGGAGTAATCTGCCTGGCCTTCCCTGGAACACAACGTGCTCTCCATGGGAAGATGCCTGCTTTTCTCAGATGATCTCAGCTTTCAGCGTGTACTCAAGCTTTATGTTGGGCCTCTCGTTGCCTAGGGTCCCTAGTTAAAGCTGCATCTGTGTGGGCTGGGCCTTCAGCGCTCTCATTAGCCTGGGCAGCTGCTGATGAGATGTGAATTCCCAGCATCCCCTGGAGGAGCCTTTGTGTGGCTGTGTGGCTCGCATGGAGGCCTCCAAGCACATCTTATCTGTCTTTACAAGCGGAAAAACAACCAAGTATACAGCTTGGATGGTGTGGGGTAAACAGTTGAGGTTAATTTATTCAAGCTTACTTTCTATGGCCATCGAAAAGTCAATTACCTTTCTGCAGTTTGCTTTTAAGTAACTCTCCATCCATAAGGCACCAGACGTAAGTAACTTGAAATGGTTTAGTGGTTTTACATCTTTATTGGCACTCCCTGTCTTTGCACTTAAATTGTACTTGTCATTCAAGGAGCCAAACAAGTGATACAGTCTCATGCATCCCTGCACAGCTGGGCAGAGGCTCGGGTGAGCAGTGGTGCACCAAACCCGGGACAGCCCAGACTGTAAACCTCAGGTCTCTGAGTGGTACTATGTGCCATTTCAGCACTTCAGTGTTTAAACTTCTCTCCTGCATGCCATGTAAATAAACTTAGTTGGTGACAGGTTTGCTTTCTTGTAGACTAGCCACAGGTACCAATTTTGGCCAGCCCGCCTCTTCTCAGGCCTGTATCCAGCAGCTCTTCCTTCTCTATCAGGATGTGATTCTGTGACAGCCCTACAGAGTAGCAGTTTGAGTCTCCACAGTTGGCACCCTATAGGCCCAGCTCAGGCCCCTTGGCACAGAGCCGGAAGTGTGAGAGACAGGGAGGACCTGACTTACAGGTAGAGGTATGTCCAACTTTTCAGCTATCCCTCGGAGTGACAAACTGGTGGCCATGTTAACCTTGCTGGAGAACTCCTTGCTGCCTGCTGGGGAACTCTAAGGTATGGTGGCCTCTACAGCCAGGTAAGGCCTTTCTTTACCTTGGGGGAAGTGGTGGGATGTCTAGAAAACTAGACCAGTGTTCCAGTTACATACATAAACTGAATATATTAAAGCTTTCCAGTTCTTACAACTCTTTTCCCCCATTCCCCTGCACCCTAGAGGTGAGAAAGGAAAGGATATAAGAAAACCCCACTAAATGTGGAGTACATTTCATCGAAGTCCGTGTGAGCCAACCTGCCCCCTGTCACCACGATGTTGACACCATCTCCTGCCTTTAAGTGCACAATAAGATGGAATGCCCCTGGGCCCCCGCAAGTGTGCAAACTTCCTTGGGGCCGGTGATATTCCAGGAATTCTCTCTTGTAGCCGGCTGTGTGCAACTGGGCCACACTGGCATTGGAGACCGACAGGACAGCTTCCACATACGCGTCCCTCTCAGGAGTGAGGGTGGCTGTGATCAGGTAGCGCCCATCGTATGGAGCCGTGAAGATCCCTGGGAGGAAGAAGGCAGACACCTGTGCTGATGGAACCCCAGCACAGCCCTGTGCAACAGGTTAACGCTTGGGAGGTAGCCCATCTACACCCACCCAGTGGTCCCCTTAGCGTGCACTGCTCTTTGCCACTGACCCAATCCTCATTGTGAGACACTGTCTTCTGCTTCTCACATCCAAGAACTGACAGAATGGGGGCCTGGAGCTGAGAAGAAATCTTGGGCTGGGTCTCCAATCCACCCTGAAAAATGTTAGGCCATCCAGCTCTCTTCCCCAGCTTTTAATAGAAACCTAAAGCTCTAGGAGTCTCAGGAATCTTTACTGAGACATCTGGCGTTCAAGTTCCCTCAGAGTCTTCCTGGAGTGAAGCCTCACTCAGGGTCACCCAGAATTTCCTTTACCGAGGATCTGCTCAATGAGAAAGGTACTAGACATCCTGGGATCATGGGAGGAGTGGCATCCCTGCTTACAAAGATCCCCTGACCTGAAGAGTGGACAAGCTGTCCACTACCAAGGCAGCAGGAAGTGAGGGTGCCAGAGGAAGCCATACTTGAGTTGAAAGCCAAAGCAGCACTTGCCAGACGGCAGCCTGCATACCTTGGAGCCTCGGGAGTGGCTTAGAAATGGTCCTGAGCTTCCCTCCAGTCAGCCTAGAAGACCCATTTTTCCAGGTTCTGCAGGAGAATTTTATGCTAACCCTTAAGAACCACCATCCTAAGAACAGGTGGGATTTAACTTGACAGTGGCCAGGCAGGGTAAACATGAGGGTGATGGCTAACATCTGCCCAGAAAGAACTCAATTCCATGTGCCAACAGCCTTCCAGAAATCCACCGTCACATGCATGCAGGCCCTGCGAGCACGGTGTGGGCACCCTGGTCTGCTGGCACTTGACAGTCCCAGAGCCTAGATACTCCTCAGAGGTCTCCATGCTCCCCAGGAAAGATCCCCAGGCCACCTGGCACCTGAGCACCTTCCTCAGGGCTCAGCCCTGATCTGCCCCAGGCACACCTCAGGAGACATCAGTGGGCCAGGTGGGCCCTGACACAGTAGACCAGATGCCCATATCTGGCCTGATGGAAAGGGCTGTGCCTCCAGACCCCGGGGACAGAAGCCCAGGCCCTGAAGTGGTAGGCTGGCAGGAAGGAGGGAACCTGTACTACAGGAACCTAGGGTTACCTCTGTCCTCACTATTCCCATGGGCTGGGGGACGACATGGGTGCTGCAGGCAGAATCCAGAACACGATTCTATTTCAGAGCAGGAAACCCCACACCCAAGGCCGCCCTGCTGGAAAGAACGCTGTCCCTTTTCTGGCTGTGTTCATCATAAACCACAAGCTCCTGAAAGAGGTTGGGCGAGGTGTCCCAGGGTGTGAGGACGACAGACTGCAAGAAAGAGAACCTCTCTGCGGCCGAGGCTGGGAAAGCTAACAAGCTCCATAATCAGTTGAACAATAATTCCCATGGCGGAGGCTGGTTTGCTGACCTCACGACTGGGAAATGTCACTGCACATCCACCCTCCCTACAGCCTGTGAGCTGGAAACTCTTTCACAAAAACCCACAACGGGGAACAGCAACACTGCCAGCTGCCCCGTCCAGGGCCCTCAGCTGCTGGGGCACCTCCCGCCCCAGCACCCCAGAGAGCACGCCCCTCAGTACTTACCAGTGTTGGGGTTGTACACGTCCCCATCATTGACCAGCACTTTGTTAAAGAGGACGACGCCCCCATCGCTGGGGAAAGGCTTCTGGGTGAGCCCCGCAGAGAAAGACACCAGAGAAGGTGCCACAAGCCCTGGAACAGAGGACACGTGTTCGCAGGCAAATGGTCAGGGCCTGTGCCGAGAGGCGGCCTCACCGCTTTATTTTGTCTTTAAGTGGTAAAGCATCCACAGGCACAAACCGTCCTCACACTCTAGAGCCAGACAGACCTTGTCAGGTCAGCAGCGAGAGCAGCTGAGCAGTTAGTTGGACAGGCTCTCACTGGGAGTGTGTGTGGCAAAGAGGGGGCTGAGGCTGACTATGAGACTGAATATCTTTGTGAGAGCAGGCTATGTGATGCTGTGTGCAGAGGTGGGAGGCTTTGTGCATCATACATCTGTGTGTGTGTTGGTGGGACAGGGGTGGTCAGGGAGTGGATAATGGGAATAATCTAGGGAGCTGCTTAAACTTGGACCCCAGAACGCTTGTCAGGGCCACACCAGGCAGAGGCCCACACAGTTTCTCAGGAAACTCCATGAGCTGGGATGATGCATGAGGGAAAACCCCTTGTTTCAGGCATGACTGTGACCCTCTCTGGGAAGCAAACCCTGGGGGAACTTGGTCCACTGCAGTCAGCAGAAACCCTGTCCCATGGCTGGTGGGTGGGGAAGGGCTGGGCCCCGGTCTTTACCCACACTAATAGCCCGAAGAGAGGAAGAAGGACATGGCGAGGAGAACCGGCCTCCTGCCTGGTCTCTCAGCAAACGTACCTGGAGAGGCTATAGGAGGTGACCTGGGGTATCCTGGAAAAAAAAAATGAGAATGGAATATCGAACAAAATCCTAAACAGCATCTCATTTTTGGGAGTCCCCTTTTTCTCCCTGCTCCTCACACTATTTCTTTAAATACACATAGAGCAAGGGCGCCCACTCCAAGCTGTCTTCCTAGAAACAGAGGCATAGTTGTACCCGCAGTGCCTTCTTCCTAACCCACTTATCCCGGGCAGAGATGGCCCTGGAGGTATGATGGCTGGGAGAATGCAAGGAGAAAGATGAGATGCTGGGCTTCTCAAGCCACGGAGAAGTCCACAGACGGATCAGACTCACATGCCAGCCAGCACACTTGCCCTCTAGTGTTGCCTGCCTCCAGCTAGACTGAACGTAGTGTTTTTTTACATGGATGCATGGATGGAAGGAGGGATGCACAGACAATAGCCCAACAATGTATAAGCATCCATGATGCGTAAAACTAACGAAACAAACTGTCCAGCACTATTTGTTTACATGTCTTAGCCCTGAGCCTCAGTTTCCTCATCTGTAATTAGAACTAATATCAACTTCAGAGCGCTGTCAGGAGATTGAGCACCTGGTTCAGTTCTTGGCAGGCAGTGGGGATCCCACAAATACTGGCTCCCTTTACCCAACACCATCACCCCCACCACCACCTGCCCCCAGTGGTGCTGACAACTCACATGGAGCACTTACTAGCCAAGCACTGAACTAGGCTTCCCTCCTCCACCCTCACAGTAACCCCCTGAGGTCCTATTACTATCTTTATTCTGCAGGTGAAGGAGCTGAATTTCAGGCGAGGAAGCTTGTGATGACACAGCTGGGATTTGTGCTAGAACCTTCCAACCCATCCACTCTGACATGCAGCTGTCTTTGCTGCTACACCAGCTCCCAGTACACATTTGGTTTCCCAGGTACATTTTCTGCTGAGAAGATCAACGAGCCGGCCCATGACCCAGGTATTCCAGCCCATGGGGCAACTCTAAGTACTTTATTACACTATCCCTGGAATGCCCCAGGCTCTGGGGGTTCAATTAGCATAAACTGGTCCCTCAGGACCTCATCACCTTTGGAGAACTAAGTTTTGGAACTTGTCCCCTGAAGGCTGGTCCCTGGACCCATAAAGCCCCTGCAGCAGATCCCTGAGGCTCAGGATGCCCCTCCTATATTCACGCCCTGTGCTCAGATGTGTCCAGCAGCAGCAGCAACTGTGAGCCTTACTCACCTGGTGCTCCAGCGAAGCCTTCAGCACTGGGAATGGGCACCTGCCTGGTGTGGCCATCCACCCCGTGGGGCAGGCCCTTCCCGGACACGCCCAGCCTCCCCGGAGGCCCAGCCTCTCCAGTCTCCATAATGACCCCAGTGGAGCCAGGCAAGAACGGCAGCCCTGTCCAGCTAGGCCATGCTGGTGGGGGCAGCAGCTGTGGTGGCCTCTCAGGCAGGACAGGCTGCTGGCCTGTGTGCAGCCGTTGTTCAGGGTCCTCGGGAGGTGGGAGCGCACCGGGCCTTGGCAGTGACGGAGGGGTCAGCTCTGGATGAGATGGCTCCGTGGGGGCCTCTGCCAGCTGTGGAGGCCTCTCAGGGGCCTGCGGGGCCTTCCCTCGGGGCGGAGGCGGGGGCGTTTCTGAGGGCTCGTCTGCTGAGCATTTGGAAAATGAAAAGACATACACAGTTAAAAACCTCAGGCCTGACTGCTCCGCCATAGCCCCTCTGAGACTAAAAGTGAGTGCTTGGGTGGCTGCCCCTGTGTTAGCATCAATGAAGCCATGGGCACTGCCCTGGAGAACACGAGAGCAGCCACCACCGCGTGGAGACAACCTGTCTCACACCTGTGGAGGGCACCTTGGGGCAAGCTGCCTTCAGGTGGCCCAAGAACCATTGAGAAAGCTTGTCAGAGCCCCCTGCCCAGGAAGCAGGACTTTCAGCCTCCCTACATGATGGTTGCACTCCAAAACAGTGCCATTCTTAGCTCTAGCACCCACAATTTCCTGATTTCAGAGCATAATGCATCCCAAATTACTGAAGGAAGTAGATGCATCCCAAATTACTGAAGCGAACCTGCTGCCACTGGCAAACTTACATTCTCTCATACAAGTGAGTTTCAGCGTCACTGTGGATGGCTTCAGAAGCTGAGGGCCTCCTGGGTACAGACACTAAAGTGACCCAAGCAGGTGTCAGGGAACTTGGAACATATCTACAGCAGAAACAAGTGCCAAAGGAGCAGTGACACCCCTTGCTTGCCACCACAGCCTGAAGATCACCAATGGAGGGGATTTCCGCCAGAGGAACCTCCTGATTCACATTTTCCTGCCTTCTTGGGATGGTGCTGGGACACAGCCGGGAAGCTCTGCCCTTTCCTCCAGTGAATACGTTCCTGGAACTAGGAAGCCTTCCTGAGGGCCCACAGGCATCTAAGAATAACTGGCACTGGCCAAATTCCACCCTCAAAAGCCACTTCCCCCACCTCCTTGGTCCCTTTGGTGCCAAAGCTATCAAAGTCTGTCCTGACAAAGTCAGTAATGGCATTCTGACCCATTGTCCAGTTTGATTTTAACAGTCACTAAGGTACCTATGGCATACCAAACACATGCTCCCCACTACCCACAGAGCCAGGTTGCTCACCCACTTCTATCCCCAAAGGGAGGTCATTTCACAAACAACCTTTCCTACCCAGTGCTTAAGCCCTTTAGAGAATGAGTCAAGTGATTACTTTCTCAACTCTCCCAAGGTTAATACAGAGCTACTACCATTCTGGATGCAGAGAAGTTAATTCATGCCATTCCGTGGAATTGCATCAGGCCTTAATTCTCTTCTTAACCCTGGCTAGAAGGGCTGCTGGGTTTAACAGAGAAGCTGGCGGAGGGATTCCAGACATAAGGGTACACCAGCCACAGTGGAGGACAGGAATTGAGAGCCGTCCGAAAACACTAAGTCAAAGTCTGCACAGTGAATTAGGAGGCTCCCAGCCCCCTCCCCCACTCGGCTTCCAGGACACTTGTTTATCACCTCAGCTCAGAGATAGGAGGAGTTTTCGAATTGACTCCACAGTGAAGCTCACAGGCATGAAACCCTGTCTATGCCTCACCTTTAAATGTGAACCACAGTCAAGATCACCTGAAGCGCAAGGAAAACCTCTGATGTAAAAGACAAAGACCAACACAAGCCATCTAACCAACTAATGAAAAGGAACTTTGGAGAAAGAGACAATGCAAGAAAATAAATGTGAAATACCCTCAGAAAAACAGAAGACACCATCCAAGATGCAAGAATAGATTGGTATAAAAAAAGACCTAATTAGAGAATAAGGATGAGCTTTTGCTGATTAAAAATATGCTTCCCAAAATAAGAAAATTCAGTGAAAGTCGGTAGACAAAATCGAGATCTTTTAGAAGGCAGAATGGAAAGACAAAATAGTAGAAAATAGGAGCGAAATCATAAGAAGATTTGAAGTCAACCCAGAAGTCTTTTTCTCCTCAATAAACAAACGAAAAAAAATCAGAAAAGCTGGAGTGTAGGGATGATGAGGTGGTAAGAAGAGGATTATCAAATACAATGCAATTTCTCAGGAGTAAAGAAGAAGAAAGATTCCAGCAGAACTAGTAAACCAAAAACCCAAACCAAGGCATATTCAGATGCTGAGAATAAAGGAAAATCCTACAGAGGCACCTAAAAATGGCGGAAAAAAGGCTTTGTTCATCCCTCTTGTGACCACACCAAATTTGGGATGGAAACACGGAGCAAACAGCAAGGAAAGTTGCCTGGGATCTAAATGAACAGAAGCCCTACAACTAAGGAGAGAAATAATTAATCAACTTCAATGGTGGAAGGTGGGAGGGGGCGAAGATGGAGGCTGCCCAGTCCCCAGTGGCTGAGTGGGACAGAGGCTACAGCAGTGGCAGCCGGCAGCTGCAGACACCTCTTAAAGGAGCCATGTCTGCAAGCGGACTTGCGTGGAGATGGACCTGCTTGCTCTGAGCACCAGTGCCAGGTTGTCTGCTCAGGGGGCACCAGGGACTTATAGGGGGACAATAAATTTTTGGAGTAAGAGCTGGTGGCGAGGCTTTCTCCCTGGGCTTTCTCCCAGGCAGAAGTGCTGGCGGTATCCATTGTTCATCTGTTGAGCCCTTCCTGCTCCCAGTGCTTAGACAATGCACCACCATAGCTGAGACATCATCGAACTGTATAATAGAGGTCGCTCTGCCCAGAGAAGTCCCTAAAACTCCACCTCCCAACTTACGGCCCCACCTACCCAGCCCAAGCCACATCCAGCTGTATCCTCAGTGAGTCCAGTGCTCCTCACTGAGCCAACCCCAAGACTCACACTGGTGGCTGCTGGCCTCGGTTTCTGGCATGGCCTCTTGAGCACAGCATCTGTAGATTGCTTGCTGAAACTTAACAGGTGACCCCAGAGAGGCACAGGCTGGGGCTATACTTGGCCTGCAGCTGAACCCCTCTCAGGACTGTGCCACTGGACACCTACTACACAAAGCCGCACTAATAAGACTGGGAGACTTAGGAGCTTTGCTTAGTACATAGAAACAGACACAGAAAGGCAGCCAAAATGGGAAGACAAAGAAGCAGAAACCATACAAGAGAACAGAACAGAGATCCAGGAATAAGGGAGTCTAAGCAGAGTTCAAAACAATGGTTATTAAGATGCTCAGTAAACTTAGGAGAAGTGTAGATGAACTCAATGAGAACTTCAACAAAGAGATTTAAAAAAAAAAAAAACATAAAAATGGAAATAGAAATTATAAAAGGGAACCAGTCAGAAATGAAGAACAGATTATCTGAGATGAAGAGTATACCGGAGGGAATCAACAGAGTGGATAAAGAAAAGGATCGAACCACCCGTATAGAGGTTGGGAAAGCCAAGGACACCCAATCAGAATGGCAAGAAAAAAGAAGCCAAGACTATAATAATAATTTAAGGAGCCTATGGGACAAAATTAAATGTAAAAATATCTGGGTCATAGAGGTACCTGAAGGGGAACAAGAAGCTGAAGAGCTATTTGAAGAAATAATGATGTAAAACTTCCTTCACCTAGTGAAGAAAATAGACATACAATCCTAAGAAGCTCAGAGAATCTCAAGAAAGAGGAACCATCTGCAGCGAGAGAAAAGCAGTTAGTTACCTACAAGGGAGCACCCATAAGACTGGCAGCTGATTCCTCAAAAGAAACTATGCAGGACATAAGGGCTTGGCACAAATATTCAACATGATGAAAACCTAGGATCTACAACCAAGAATATTTTTTCCAGCAAAGCTATCATTTAGAGTCGAAGGACAGATAAAGAGCTTCCCAGACAAAAATAAGCTAAAGGAATTTATCAACACCAAGCCAGTAGTACAGGAAATGTTGGTGGTACTTCTTTAAGAAGAAAAAACATGCATCAAAAACATGAATAAAGACTGGTAATAACTACATTCCTATCAGCAAGTACCTCAAATGGAAAAGAATTAAGTACTCTGACCAAAAGATAGGGTGGCTGAATGGATAAGAAAATAAGACCCTACATATGTTGCCTATACTCACTTCAGATTAAAAGATACACAGAGACTAAAAGAAAGGGGGTGGAAAAAGATATTGCCTTGATGGACCTAGAGGGTATTGCGCTGAATGAAGTAAGTTAGATAGAGAAAGACAAATACCACATGATTTCATGTACATGTGGGATCTAAAGTACAAGACAAACAATGACAACACCAAAAACGGAAACAAACTCATAGAGAATACTTTGAGGGCTACTAAATGGGAAGGAGCTTGGGGGGATGGTGAAAAAGGGCAAAGGGATTAAGAAGTACAAATGGATAGTTACAAAATAGGGAGATATAAAGTGTAGCATAAGGAAAATAGTTAATAATGTTGTAATAAATATGTAAGAAGGAAGAGGGGTCTAGATTTAGTGGAGTGCGGACTTTGTGAGTTATATAGATCTCTAATCACTATGCTGTACAACTGAAACTAATATACTATTGTATGACAACTGAAAAAAAACTCACTGAATTATACAATGTAAATACGAGCAACTAATTGTCTATTATATCTCAATAAAGCTGAAAATAAAAATAAAAGAAAGAAAAATCCTATAAGCTTTCAGGGGAAAAATTTTTTTTAAGTTACTTTGAATGAGATGGTCATCATCAGGCTTCTCAACAATAATATTATAAACTAGAAAACAAGAGAACAATTGCCTCAAAAACTTCAGGGAATATCATTGTTAACTTTGATCTCTGTACCCAGCCAAAATGTCTGTCAATTATGAGACTAGAATAAAAATATTTTCAGACATGCAATGTTTTAAAACAAAACAAAACAAAAATTCTCAAGCACTCTTTCTTAAAAAGCTATTGGAAAATGTGCTCCACTGAAACACATGAAAGAAACATGAAGTAAAGAAAAGAGTCAGATAAGAAAGAGGTTCAAGAAATTTCTAGGATGGTAGTGAAGGAAGTTTCAGGTTGAAAGTCTTATAGCGAGTGTAAAGAATAAGCAGTTCAGATTGGATCATGAAGAAAGAACTCCAAGAGGGAGGTCACTTGTTTTAAAAAATGGAGTTGACAAATATCTGACATTTTCTGCTGTGGAAAATAAGATTGAGAGAGTGTTGAAGGGTAAGAATCCAAAACAGATACAA